GAGTCAAAGGGAAGGCAAGGATGAATTATGATGCTCGACAGGCTGCGGCAACATCAAGAAAGCGAATCAGCCGATAGGAGATCCTGGAGGAGAGAGGTGCGTGTGTGTGTGTGTCGAGCTTACAGTACTTGCACCTCACTCGGACCACGAGTGATGTAGTGATCTCACCCTCCTCCTCCTCCTTCTCCTTCTCCTCCTACCCCATGCAGACACTCTGGAGCATGCTAGTTGGCCGCTATTCCCAGGAAGCTGTTCTGACCGAGGTTGTTCTCGTCATCCCAAGGCGTGTGCGTGCGCTCCATGGCATCACCGATCATGGCCAGGTTCCCCTTGCAAAAAGGGGGCCCCCCGGGGATGAGGCGGAATTCTTGGCACGGCTTCCGGATGGCTGCCTCTGGGCGGTCTCAGCAGCGATCGAGCCTTGACCGCACGGATGCTTGGATGGCCTCATCTCTACTCTGTTCTAATGCATGCAGTGTTCTTTTCTTCTTCTTTTCCCGAGCCGCGCTCTGCCGTGTGAGAGAGGAGCTCCAGTCCAAACCACACGAGAAAGCGAACACGTAACAAGAATCACGGCTCGCCACCTCTTTGCCTCCTTGACCACAGGAAAGTGTCCTCGGCATAAGTTATCATGCGACACATAATGAACCGTCGTACTATGTGCTGTAGTTCTACTAGGGCCCTGAAGAGGATCGACAACGTGGAGAAGGCCCTTCCGTGTCGTCTGTGCCGTCTTGCTTTTACGTGTCCCAGTACAATACTTTCACTCAGCTCCGCTCTGCAGCGCCGCATTCCACTACAACTGCAACCCATTCCACCGTGGAAACTACATGCCCAGAGAAACCATCAAACTACACAGAGCTGACGCCTGAAACCTCCACGGTGACCCGTACCCTTCTTTGGTCCTGCGTCTCGGACTCCGGCGTACCTCATCTCCGCCGGTTCCTCAAATAACACGAAACTTACCTGTTGGGCTGAAGAAGGCCGGGGGGTGGGCCAGGTTTGTACACTGTAGGGGTGGAAGAAGTCTTGAGGGAACCCCCACGAATAGATTTGGGGGGGGGGAAGGGGGAAGGAAGAGTCCCACGACATTCAGCCAGCCTGCGAACAGAGGATAAGAGCAGGGGGGGAGGTACCCCAGGTACAGCATAGCCAGGGGGTGGATGAAGAAAAAGAAGACAGAGAGAAAGAAAGGAAACAAGGATTACTAGTAAGAATATATTAATTCTGAGAACAGAGAAGGACAGCTAGGCAGGGGGGGAACTGTACGGGAGCGGCGGGTGAGACCCACCACTGCTCCAGAGCCCAAGCAATACCCCAAGCCCTGGGCTGCTAGAGCCCTCGCTCGACCTTGCCGTGTGCAAACCAACTCATTCGCCTTATTGACTGGACTGATATTTAATATCGTGCCTGCCTCCCTCACTGCTTCTCCCACCTTTTCCTTTTTTTCCCTTCTCCTCGTTCTGTTTTCACCAAACCCAACTTGCCAATGCAGTCAAGACAAATCAAAATCTCAACAGCATCACTTGTTTTCCTGAACTCATAAAAACCCAACCATCACCCACCACCACCACTAGCCAGACACGTCGTCCGCGCTACCATTGCCAACTCAACACCACTTCTCTTTTTAACTATTTTTTTTCTTATCACTACCACCGTCCACATACATAAGGCTGAGAGACCTACGGAACTCCAGTCAGCAGTACATCATCGAAAGAAGAACAAAAAACAAACGGTCAAAACCAGACCAACAACTGTCACCACCCCATCCACATACCGACAAACAAAACAAGAAAGAAAACATGTCTTCCCAGCTGGCGACTCCCCTCCCTATGTCGCCCGCCCGCGGCAAGCTTCAGCTCCTCACCTCTCAGGACTTCGCCAGCCTGAGCGCGACCCTGTCTTCCCAGGGCTCCCAGGACTCGCCCACGCCTATCCACGAGATCTCAGCGCAGGACTACTTCATCCCCGCGCCGCCTCCCCCGAGCCCCGTCAGCTTCCGCCACGAGAAGCTGGGCGGTCGCCGCTGAACAAGAGACAAGATATACGAAACCAGACAAGCCCATCCACCATCCTTCGCAGAGGGCCGGGCACACACAACCGACTTTCCTTCCTTCTTTCTCTTCTTTACTTCTCTCAACAACGTTATTATTCTTTCTCTTCGATTGGCACTTCTTCGGAGTCACACTACATAGGGGTACAAGGATACCAAAAAAAACAAAAAAGCGATGCTGTGGAAGCACGCAAACGGGATACTAAACTTGGTCTGCTTTTAATTCTGCATTTTTCTTCTTTTCTGGTCTTCTTTTTTCTGCCGGTGTTTCACGGACGGATATCGGGGTCATGGAACGGCATGGCATGGCGAATAAGGGAGTCCATCTGTAGCACCGCCATCGTACAAAGTCAACGAAACAGGGGCATCACGGAATTACACAAAAGTGCGCTTTTTCTTCCATTCGACGGATTGAGACTGTTAGGCCCTTTTTTCTTTTTTCTTTTCTCTTCTTCTTTCTTTCTTTTCGTCGCATATTCACATGAAGCTGGACATGGGCAATGTGAAAGAGGGAGCCGATCGTGCAGGGCAATGCGGTGGGGTAGGAGGACGGGAAAGATTGAGGCAGACTTGCTGGCGAGGCCCATAGGTTGAGATCGACTCGGCAAAGTCTCCGAAAGTGGAATTTCCAAGAAGCTCGTTCTCAAAACCTTCTAGAACATCCCTACACGTGGGAACTCTTTTGCGATGCAGTGAAGTGACCCTGTCTATCCCCATGATTTACCGAGATGCGTGCATGGACGTAAGCTGGTCCTCCTGGCTTGTATCTGTCCCTTCTTGGAGGTTTTGATTGTGTTTTTTCTTCTTCTTTTTCTCTCCTTTACTTGTTCTCAAAAAAGAATCTCGACTGTGAACCATGAGTGCGTCGAGACGGATTCGATGAGAACGACAATCGGGCTCTTCGACAGCAATGCCCTTCTCCCCCTGGGGGCCCAAGAGGATTAAACTTGGGCGCTGACGATCGGTGGAGACGAATACGACACGCCGCCTGCTGTATCTTTCCAACAGGTCTCAGAGTTTCTCAAGGTGATAGGTGGATCTTCCTCCTTTCCCCCTTCTCCCTTTGGGAAGAGGGTAGGGCAGAGGAGAAGGCGGAGGGAGAAACAAAAAGAGACAAAAATGAGAAGAAAAAAATGAGTTAAATAAACACAAGGGATCCATCCCACGGAGTCGCCGTTGAGCGTGGGCCACTTGAGAGAGTAGAGATGGGGCCGACCTCATGCTGTCTCTGAGACATGTGGGCGGGGGGAACGTGGTACCCTTGAGCTACTGGGGAGAAGACCTAGAGGAGGGTCTGGGGGATTAACCGAAAGGGGGGAAGGGACAACGAGGATGGGGGAAATATTATTCTTCCTTCAATCCGCCGTGTGGTGTTGTTTGTGTATGTAAAGGCGGCGGTCGGGGAGGAGAAAAGTAGTTCTTACGTTTCCCCTTTCTTCTTCTTTCTTTCTTTCCCCTTCTCTCGCTCCCTGGAGATGTGCCCTAATCGAAATGAATACACGATGGATGCCAGACTGCGGCCTGTGCTTCATGATGTGCAGGACACGGAGCAAGGTCCCCCCTCGGTGTCCTATTTTCCCTTTGGGTAAAGTATGGATGAGGTGTCTAACGGGCAGCTCCGGACCTAAAGAGGTCAAACTGCCGGGTTTGGGAGCATGCTGTACGATGTGCAAAATGCTGTCTTTGTCAATAGGAGGACAGTCTTCCGGGCAGGTAACTCTATAGTTCGCGATGGTGACGGTGGTAGACGTAATAATCGCTTAGACTAAGGACATTTAAGTGCCGATATGGTGCCATGCACTTTACTCTCTCTACAATTCATCATCTAGAAACGGGGACTCGGGGCGGGTGGTGACAAAGCCCGACACGTCTAAACAGGGACCCATTGATTCTTAGGCGGGCCGAAGCGCGGTTGCCAACCCACTAAAAGCGACGCGCCAAGTCGCGTCTCACAGAGACTTTTTGGGCGACGTCCTTCATATACTCACGCGACGCGCCTGCGAAGGCCCACTTTCTTCACAGGTGAAAGCCCCTCCTCCAAAGAAAGGACCATTTCCCAATTGCATGTGCACCTGACTTGTGTTGTTTGTTCTTGACTTTTTTTTTTTTTTTTGGTCTACAGGCCGACCATCATCTTTGTTGTTGCGACTTCCTTGATAGCACCACGTCGTCATCCGCTTTGCATCCAAAACTGAACTTATCAGCATCATCATTAGTACTGATTGTCCGTACGCGCCTGCCTTCCAACCTTGTACATTAGTATCGTCCCCAAAGCAAGCACCATCGCCCATCCCCATCTAAGGTCAAGATGGCAGGCGCCACTGGTCGTCCCCGCGGTCGGCCGCGCAAGACCCAGGTCGTAGGTCCTGCAACTGCAACTGCACACATCAACAGCTTTGCCCGCGTCTCGAAGCAGTCTACCGTGGCTGGGAAGGACCTGACCGACAGAAACACCACCAAGCCATGCCACATCACGCCAGCCACCCCTTCTGCTCGCAAGAGGAAGGCAGCACGGTCACCAGAACCAGAGGAGACATCCTCCACCTGCCCCACGACGCGATGCAAGCTCCTCCCTACCACGAGCAGGTCCACCAAGAAAGCCCGACTCCAAACCACCGCTTCCGAGCCTGCTGTCCGAGCTGAAGAGCAGATCGAGACACCTGCCACCCCCCGCGCCGGGCACATCAGAAAGCGCGCCCTCTCGCCTTCTGTCGAGGAGTCTCCTCGTACCAGGGAGGCGGGCAACCTCTTCAAGCGCCTCCGCATCGACGCATCGCCCTTCCCCGGTGGAGCCACGTGCAGACCCTCGCCGCTCGGTCATACCACCACCCCTGCTGTGACGCGCACCAGCACGCCTGCCACCTCCACCGCGCCGGACTCAGATGACGAGGGCGAGGCCGATACCTCCAACGCCACCACGCCCGAGCCCGATATTCCCCTCGCACCGCTCCCCCAGGAGCTGCTCGACGTCGTCTCCCTCTTCGCGGCCCTGCTCGGGACCTTGTCTGTGCATTATGCCCAGAACGGCACCAGTGCGCCTGTCGACTTGCGCCAGATTTCACAGGCCGTCAGCCTCGCATGGGGCCGCCGGCGAATCACCCTCGCCGATGTCCGGCGCTGCATTGGGGTTATGGACACCACCGGGTCCAGTCCGTTCTCCCTCGTCGACTATGGAAATAAGAAATTCTGCATCGAGCTGGGCGAGGGGTTCCGAGACCGGCCGCTGGACGAGGCCGGGCTGATAGACGTGTTCGAAGGGAACCTGCGCGATGTATGGACGACCGTGGGTGATGCTGCAGAGGGGGAAGACTGCGGTGCTCTTGTGCAGAGTCTGCCAAAGGCCGGCGTGCATAGCTGTGAGAGCGTGGCCAAGGCATCACCACTGTTGGCACGAGGCCAGAGGGCCATGGCAGAACTGAGAAAAGACATCGAGACGAGAAAGGACGAGAAGGAGGCCGCTAAAATCGTGAGCCATCCTGCAGCCAACAGCGACGGCACAGGCCCTGGCCAGAAGCTGTCCCTGCTCGAGCGCCTCCGGGTCAAGGAGGCCCATCTCGCCCAGCTGGCGGCCACAGGACCTACGGCTGCTGAGCTGGAGCGCAGAGCCGCCCTTCAGCGGGCCGGCGATGTCGCCGCGGTCATCGCCATGCTGGCCAAGTCGGCACCCGCCGCCGGCATGGGTGGCAGGGTTTCGTTCACGATGGCCACCGTGCTGCAGAAGCTGAAGGACTCGTTACGCCTGCCCATCTCGAAAGAGGAAGGGGCTGCCTGTGTGCGGCTGCTCTCTAGCGAGGTCGCGCCAGAGTGGCTGAAGATCGTGAAGATCGGGTCCAAGGAAAATGTTGTCATGACGGTGGGCCGGGCGCTCAGCTCCGGGGCAGTAGCTGAGAGGGTCAAGATGTTGTCTACTTGAACCAGCACAATTATTTTCTCTCCTTTTTCTTTTTCTTTACGAGCGTGGACGAGAGAGCACTGTGCGAGGAAGAATGTTGCCTACGATCAAAGGAAGAGTATGCATTATCACGGAGCCTGTTTTTCATATATCGAAAGGGGAAGTCGCTCCAAGAGAGGCCATTCGCAGAGAAGACTACCTCATGTATTACCACATTTGCGCAAGGAGCCCGGTGATGGACATATTGACATTGTCGTTCATTCGTTTGGGTTTTGGCATTGATTGCATAGCTCATATTGGCTCAGAGACTACATAGCCACGAGTAGAACAGGGCGCACGGAAGGCGGCCCTTACATATGAAGAACAAAGAGACACTTTTCGTCATCTACTAGAACTACCTCTCCATAGGCATTCTCCCGTCTGCGTGTGTGGTTGTATACGCTGTAGCGTATGGGATGACACGTGTGTGTGGCACCAGTATAGTGTAAATCATCACCAGGTCCTTGGCTCTGCCTCCCCAAGACGCAAAGGAGAAGAAGGAATGCCGAAGGAAAAAGCGATGTATCACGCCTCGCAGATGCCCGAGCACATCCTGACTTCGGCTAGGAGATTCTCCGTAGGAGATCATCAGAAGTAGTATCTCTCTATCAAGAGAAGCACATTTATTTGCGAGAAAAGAGACGTGGTGACGACCCAGACAGATCTAAGCGTTCTGTGACTTTCTCCGTGTGAGGTTGTCGTACCAGAACCCCCGTCTTAAGTACCAGTTACCAACCATACATTGGATGAAAATAACGTGGGGTTTGGGATGATCAAAATTCTATTCCCAGTCTCTTCTAAAAGACCATTCTAGCCTCGGCACTCCGTTGGAAAAAGAATATGCAACGAGGGTTCTACCTCCGCTGTGCTTCAGACTGACCTCTCCCGAGGCAGGCAGGCAGACCTCAATAGAGATCTCCAACCAAACTTCCTTGAACCACATTTGATCCAAGACCTCCGGTTCAGATCTCTCGTATCTCCGTTCCCAGATCATACGCCAAAAATAAAAATAAAACAGGGCAACTCATAGCCAAGCTCTTTGTTCAGCCAGAAGCAAAGCAACCCTCCATCCGACCAAAAGCAGACCCGCCGGCCGCGGACAACCAGGGGACTGAGCCATACTCTCTTCTCTTGACCCACTCCGCTCGATGTGGATGTAGAAGGGGAGGTTTGGTCTTGCAGACCCAAGCAGAGGGGAAACACTTTTTTATTTCTTGTCACCCTTGGGCTTGAACTTGGGCTCCCCGATAGCGGCGCCCCGCAACTTGACGTTGAGGGCGCGCTCGAGGGCGTCGAGGATCTTCTGGTCGGGCTGGGCGGTGCCGGCCTCGTACTGGCCGAGGATGTTGGAGGTGGTGTTACACTTCTTGGCGAGCTGGTCGCGGGTCATCTTGGGCTCCAGCTCGTTGCGCTTCTCCTGGATCAGCTTGCCGACCTTGATGCCGACGGTCTTGGGCTTGATGATGTCTGGGTTCTCGTCGAGCTTCTTCTGGCGCTGGCCCTCGGTGTTGCCCTTGGCCTGTTGTATCCGAACATCCATCATGTCAGCGTTCATGCAGCTCGAACACTTTTCTCTCTTGGGTGCGTCCTGTTATATCTGGGGATGAAGGTGATGAGGAGGAGGAGGAGGAGGAGGAGGATGATGATGTGGTGATTCATTCGTGTGAACTTACGGCATTGCCGACAGCGAATTTCTTCTCCTGGCCGATGATGGCACCGCTGCGCTGGGCGGCGTTCAGAGCGCCCTTGCCTCGCACGACGGTCTCCTTCTGTGTCGCGCCGCCACGGGCCTTGCTACCAATCTTGACGGCGGGCTCCCAGTCAGACATCTTGACGGTTGTGATTTTTGTGATGAGGACTTGACGAGTGTTGTTGTGTGGGCTGTGGGTCCCTGGAGGAGTTGATGACGTTTCGTCTGTGCTGACGCAAAACGATGTGGGTGTAAGGTGCCTTTGTTTTGCAAGAGAGTCGAGTGAGTCGAGTAGAGGGCTCCTTTAGCGATCGGCTCGATTTGTTTGTCGAGAGATTGTTGTCGTGGGGATGACGAGTTTTGCAGTTGGTGTGTATTTGTGGTTTGAGGTGTGCTAATACGGAGGAGGGCTTCAGGACTGACGTTGGCGGGTTAAATATTGCCAAATGGAAGTCAATGGATGGCGGTGGAGGGCTTGGGCGGCTGCTTAGGCGGCCTGAGTCAATCGGGCAGTAGTCATGAAGAGAGGGTTGTGGGCAGTCACTAACAAATGGACACCACATTGGCAAGACTTTCTGTTAGCATCATACATGGGACTTTTCGGGTGGGTCTGAACAGGTGGTGTGGCGGGGTCCAATCCTCCCGGGAAGGGGAGTGTTAGAGGATTTGTCTAGGAAAGTGGGTGAGGCCTCGACGCTCGGAGCACCCGAGGCCGGCTTTGCTTTCTTTATCATCGTCATCATTATCATTAATCACCACCTCAAAACTTCTGCATTTCGAGAACAAAATTAAAAAATTGATGGATTGACCGAGTGCTTTTTTATTTTTTTTTATTTCTCGCTGGATATGAGTCGTGAAGGCCCCGGGTGGCTCTCCTGCGCTGCTACTCTCTTGTTGTTGCATACGCTGGGGCTCGACTCACGAAATGTGAAACAAGTTGTCTTCGGCTTCATCGTGGCTCTTCAGGTCCAGCCAGGGACTTCCAGAGACAGGCTCGTTTACCACGCTATTGGTGTTCTGCAATGCGCAGTATTTATTGCGGCTGTCTTCCTCTTCTGCAGGAGCGTCCTGGCCACCAAGAATACGCCAGGATGGACTGGCCAGGGTAAGGTCTTGTTGTTCCCATGCAAGACGACACATTCGAGGTTCTTCCCGAAGAAGCACTCGTTTGATTATTCGTACCTCGTCGTTGGCATTCCTGTGGGCTGGGAGGGCATATCGGGAGGGCTAGTTTCTTCGTCATCGAAGAAGCAGTCCTGGTTCTCCTCGCCCAAGAAGGGATGGTATCATGTCAACTCGGAGGATTACCTTTACCGTGGAGATGGGCATCTGAGCTTGCGGGACAAGCTAGATGTGTATTTGAAGTCTCAGGTCTGTGTTGATCATGTGGTACGAATTTCTGTTCAGATTGCTGATGAGATCCTCAGGGTGTCGAACCGGCTCACTATCCCCACGCCTATCTAGTCACGGCAGCAAGGTTTCTGGGGTATCACTTTAATCCTGTTTCCTTCTGGTACCTGTACTCAGCAGACATGTCTCTGCGCTGCATGGTTCTGGAGGTCAACAATACTTTCGATGAACGCCGCATGTACTTGTTGACACCTGAAGAACTTGAGGTCGACGAGCTCGAGGGCTCGAGGCCAGATTCTGTGGCAAGCGTCGGGAGTGATGGCAAACCACCAATGTTCAAGCAGCAGTGGCCCAAGGATTTTCATGTGTCGCCCTTCAACTCACGGAAAGGTCAATATAGCCTGTTGGCTTCCGACCCACTCAGGGCCCTGGCCGAAGGTCAAAGCCCGATTGACACAACGATTACTCTCAAATCGAACAAGGGACACAGCAAACTTGTTGCCCGAATTATCTCGGAGGGTCACGCGGCCGACCCTTCGTTTATGGGTCTGGTGCAAAAGGCCAAGTTCCTGCTGTCGTGGTGGTGGGTTGGCTTCATCACTTTTCCCAGGATCGTCAGAGAGGCTGGTCGTCTCTGGTTCCAAAAGAAACTTCATGTGTGGTACAGGCCTGAGCCTCTAAAGGAGAGCATCGGACGCAATGCCGACTCTGCTGAGCAACAATTGGAAATCGCCTTCAAGAAATACCTGCGATATCTGGTCGATCAATCTCAGGCCGCGATCGCTGTCCACTACATTCCTAGTGGAATACCCGATTCCGGGCGAGAGTTGATGCTGTCACCGTCAGCGAAGAGTGGACCGGACAATACGGAAGAGGTGGAGTTCAAGGTTCTGACACCGGCGTTCTACACGCGATTCATCTCCTATGCCCACGATCTTGAAGCCCTTTTCTCCGAACTCCGCGAGAGTTGTACGGTCTGGGTCTCGCGTCCAGACCTGCTGCCAAAGCTTCTGTTCAAGAAACCGGCAGTGACATTGGAGGCCCAAAGTCCACTGGATTACGTCTGTTTTGAAGCAATTCGGTACCTTCGACGACGGCCAGAGAGGATTGTCCGGCCACTGACTTCAAGTCACACCCCTTCTCCATCATCTGCATCCGCCACCGTGGTCGACATCCGAGAGTTTCGAATATCGTCAATGGATGCCTTTATACTGCATCAGGAGGATGAGCAGCTGAGGAGGCAATACAGAAGCCTCGTACTGAGGCTCTTTATCGCAGAGCGGTTTGCCTTTGGGAGTCTTCTGCTCGTCGATGCGACTCTCATCCTGCTTCGGACCTTGCTGGCTTGGACGTTGGCTTTCGCATGGCAAGGCAAGTGGCGGGTCCTCGGGGTATCTCTCGCCATACTGTTCAATGGATATGTTTAGGCGAGTGAGAGCTCCTGGTGCACAGCGGGATACAAACGACCTGAGGGGACAGGAATGCTGCTGTGGTTTAGGGCCGAAGAGGGCCAGAGCGTCGCTTTGTGCGACGTGTTGATAGTAGCTCGCCAATACTTGCCCGTACATTCATCAATTGATTGGCCGCTATCAATTATGTGCTATGTTTCAGCCACCCGCTCTGTGATCGGTCTGACAGATAGAACCTTGTGCACAAACCTGTTCGACCGACATGTGCATTTCATACACAAATACCAACCCGGTTGAAGAAACGTCGAGAAACTTGACGAAACAGAGCAGAACATGCCTCAGCGGGTGATATCCCAAATAGGACGGCTTGAGCCGTCTGATTGGTTCGGGGTACGTAATCTTGGTGCTGTTGGTAGAGCTTCGGCTCCAGACCGCCGCACAGGGTCCTCTTCAGGGCGTCTCCACACTGACCAAACTGAATTCCAAATACTTACCCTGCAGCTTCTAACCCGATGGGATGGACAGAGAGGGAGGGAGAGAAAAAGAGAAAGACTTGTCATTCTGACAGTGGGACCTCTTACAACGGTGACAAATCGGGTAGCAGGCTGTCTAGACCCGCACGAGGTTTGAAGGCAAAAAAGACAAAAAACTTGGAACACAAATTCCAGGGGCTCTGCTGAGTAACTACTGTAATGGCCCTGCATGCCTATCTCTGGTGCCTCTCTCTATTGATCACTCTCCAGAATACGCTATACGATGTTCGTCAGCTTATACACACTATGACAAGTGCATGGTTCTACATACGGGGTCTCGGGGTACTGCCTGATCCACCCCTCCTGTGGACCCTTTTCTTTTCTTTTTTCCTTCCTTCTCACAATTCCAAATACGTCTGGGACACATTCCCAACCCCGCAACAGGGATCCATTTTTGGGAGGCAAGGTATTCACACAAGCCAAAAAAAAAAAAAAAAAGAAGGAAAAAAGCAAATAGGCTTATCAGCAAAACCAAAACTTGCCTGCGTGTCATGCTGATGGGAACTATGCGAGGGTTGCCCAGGGATGGGATCTCAAATCAACCTGTAATTCATCTCATCCTAGCCCTTGGCAATGTGCGCTGCTCAGTTCAGGGAGGAGTTGGTTATCTGGACCACGTCAGTGGATCGGAGCGCCTGTTGGCTGCTTTTCCTGTATCAGTCGTAGCCCTGCCGGAGTGATACCCGCAGGGACTGAGGGAAAATATGTTGCTCGGAGACGTGTCTCTACTATGTGTGGTGGTCCTGGGAACAGGGCGGGCATGCAGCTCTACGCTTTTTCCAAGTATATTCCGGGGCGGCGGGGGTCCAACGGCAAGAAATATAAAAGGTCTCAAGTGCAATCCCTTTTCTTCAACGTTCCGTGACTTGCCTCCCTCACCTGTTCAACCCCTCCCCTCTTTGCGAATCAACTGCCTCCTATTCTCCCTACCTTCTTCAAATCACCCAAACACCAGCAATAAATAAAATCCCCCTCAAATCAACAATCGAACCCCACCAAACTGTATACTTTTCTCCTCCTCAGCTCTCCAAGATGGTTCTCAAGGGTCACTGCCTCTGCGGCTCCGTCACGTACACCGTCGACGTTGACGCCCCCCTCATTACAGGATACGACCACTGCGATGACTGCCAGCGCCAGTCTGGCTCCACATACTGTGAGTATTCTCGCGAAATTGGGTTCTCTCCTATTTCTCTTTTCTTTTGTGACTTCATTTTCATTCGAGTTCAACCGACATTATGATCGAAAGACTCTCTCTTTTGGGGGCTGTTGTGGTGTGGGTTTTCGGTGTCGTCACTATGATGATTGATTGCCCCTCCCCCGCATTTTGATGGAGCCCGCTCGGAGCTGTGCATCTGCTGTGGGTCACCATCGTCAGACATGGGCCCAGCTCCCTGACACAAGTTTTCAGCGAGTTGCTGGCAAGCTTCAGACCTGGTCTTTTGTTCTTCCCAACTTTTCTCTGAGAGAAACAAAAGAAGAAGAGAGAAAAAGAGATACCAAAGCAATATCAGAGCTGTTTTGTCCTTGGGAGCGTTGGCGACAAGTCAATTGAGAGAATCCACAGTCCATGTGGACCTACGAGGAAACCTGCCTCTGCGGGGTGCTTCCAGCGGGCCAATACGCACTCCCTTGGCGTATGCCATAAACAAATCCCCGAGACTCCTTCTCTCCCCCCTCTCCCACCCTTTTACTCACCTCCAGCCAGAAAAGGGGAAAAAATGAACAATAGAAGAAGAGAGAAAAAAACCGTAGCTGATCAAGTGCCCCATCCTCTTCCTCTAGCTCTCGTGGCCGTGGTCCCCAAGGACAAACTCAAGATCACAGGCGAGACCAAGTCCTGGGCGGGCAAGGGCTCCTCCGGCAAGGACGTCCACCGCATCTTCTGCCCAACCTGCGGCTCCCCCATCGCCCACGACCCGGATGCTGCGCCCGAGATCATTGCCCTCAAGGCCGGCACGCTGGATATCGAGATCAAGAAGACGCTGAAGCCCGACACGGAGATCTGGACCCAGTCCAAGCTGCCCTTCATGACCGAGTCGCTGGCCAAGCCTTTCAAGGGCATGCCGGAGTAGATTTGTTGAAAGGGAGATAGAGAGAGAGTGATGAGCTTTGGGAGCGAGGTTGCATTGTTGTGCCGAGGAGGTTGATTGCGGAGTCAGGAGTGGTGTTGGACGAAGTTTGGTGAGCTGCATGGTTCACCAGAAATAAATTTTTGCAACGGTGTGTGCTACGATGAGCATTATGTATTAAACTATTATGCGACCAGTAGCCGCAGTCAAACATCTACTCCATCTAATCTTCATGTTCACGTGTTGCTTGACTCGTCGCCCGTCATGTGCTTCGTCCAAAACCACAAGTTCATCCTGCGCTCATTCTACAGGCCTGCTGCCACAGCCAGACCAAGTCCCAGCAGCAACCCGCCCGCAGCCCTCGTGGGAGCAGCCCCAGCAGTCGAGCTCGTCGACGGCGCTGCCCCTCCACTGGAGGCTGTACCTGATCCCGACGATCCCGACTCCGCACTGGCCGTCGATCCAGACGCCGACGCAGACCCGGAGCCGCTGGCGCTCGCCGTAGCCCCGGACGTCGTCGTCGCCGTAGCTGTTGCGGCGCTTCCGGTGATGGACCCAGGCCCCTGGCTCCCGCTCAGCGTAAAGTACAAGCTGACAGCCGTCTCACTGGGCGCCTGATCAGAACTGACGGTAGCGCCGGTGGTGGGGTGTGTGAGCGTGGCCTCGACCGCGCTGAAGTAGCCGGCAAAGTCGGTCGTGGGTGTGGCGGCGGCGGTGGACGAGAGGAACGCGCAGAGGCTCTGGCTGGCGGCGCTGGCGACGGCCTCGTAAAAGGCCTCCTCGTTCTGGGTGCGCTGGCCGTGGAAGTAGAGGCAGTTCTGGCAGCCCGTCCACTCGGTGAAGTAGGAGCCCGTGCACATGCACTGGGCGTGGGCGGCGTAGTAGATCGGGGTCGTGCCGTTGGGAGCGCAGGCTTCTTCGATGGCCTCGATCTCTATGCAGGGGGGAATGGTGGTGGAAGAAGAGGTGGTGGTGATGTTGGGGGAACAGACCTCGTCGGCGTAGTCGCGCTTGAGGAGCTGGTATGCGTATTCGCGAGTTGAGGAGGCGAGGGTTGGGGGTAGGGTTGACGTCGCCAAGAGGGCGAGGAGGAGGACGTTATTGTATCCCATGATAATTGGTGGGGGAGGGAGGGGAAGAGAGATGTGATTCAGCCTCAAAAAATTAAAACAAAGTTTGGTTGGGTGGCTGGTATTAATTGATTGGTTGATTAATTGATTTGCTTTGATCTCCTGCAAGATAGTGGATGATGCTGGTGATAATGACAACAACGGCGATGACAAAAAAAAAAAAAAAGCTTCCGTGACTGAGTATTGACGCTTACAAGAAAGGAAGTAAAATGAGGAAACCACCTGAGATCCCCAACTTATGCTTAAAAAAAAAAGGCCAAAGGGAAGAACTTTATGAAGGAGCAGTTGGGACCATGCGGCGCAGCAGACAGGAAGGAAAAGGGTAAGAAGAAAACGCACCGGGAGGCATGGTTCTTTCCTCTTCTTTTCCTTTCCAAGATAGCTTCCCTTCCATAGCTCTCTTTTTTCCCCTTCTGCCTTGTTTCGTTTCGATAGTAGTAAGCATCGTGAGAAGCTTCTTTACCGCATCCGGCTGGAATCATAAGCAACCAACCACGTCTTTTTCCCACCCTCCCCCTCTGGTCCTTTCCAGAAGAAGATGTGGGCGGCGCGCTACTCCGCCCGCGTGCTGGTGCGCCGTCGCTTGCCTCGGTCTTCTACCTGTACACTCGCATGAATATGAAGAAAGGGGAAGGAGGGAATTTGCAGTGCTGACTAGTGAGTTGGTCAAGGATAGAATGAACCTCAACCTTATTGTGCTTATGGAAGCAGCCGAATGTCCGTGCTCATGCACGTCTGATGCTGGAATTTGACGGGTTGAACGGATAGTCTCCCTCTCTTCCTACCCCCTCCCCTATCTCTCTCCCTTTCCCCTTCTTTTCTCTTTGTGAGTAGAGGTTCCTGGGGCCTGGCCCTTGCTTCTGTTGTGTGCTGGTACTTCTGGCTGTCTGGATTGTATGAATTTCCACAAATACTATGAAGTAGTCGGTGTCCGTCTTCGGGGAAATTGTCATCGTCTAGTGATGAAACCAGCAAGACTCATCCATAGAAGCTGATTATCGAAACCAGGAAATAGAGCAAAAAAGAAAAGAAAATGACCAACGGTAGGTGGGATAACTACAGCAATTCTCTCTTTACCTCTCCTTTTCTTGAATTCAAAACACGAGTACGAAATAAAACGGTTATGGCGAGCTCCTCGTAGGTAGACGGGTCCTGGTGCCATCTATAATACGTTGAGTCTTCAACTTCCTCAATAGGTAGTTGTTCCTAACCAGTACCATGCACCACCCTTCCCCAGGACGCCCTGCAGAACGTAGACAATGTCAACGGCAATTCTAGTATTCGTTTAGGCAGCCAGGATGATCGGCGCGACAGCATAGACCCCTGGTTTCGCCTCCGCAATTGTGCTGGGAAACAAAACCACCCTGTCGGGGACGCGAGGACTATCACGTTCCGTAGTGACTATGCATTGTCACATCGAACCGTAGTAGATCCTTTGCTATAGTAGTAATTGGGAAATGCTCCTATAGCGAAGCCGAATACGTGAATGAAGAAGATTACCACTGTCGATCCCCCGTAAGACACGGCATAGAAAACGTATACTGTCTGCCGAGGATATATAGATAATGCAGTCCATTGCCATGCAGATCGGCAACTGGAAATTCGTCAAGGCATTCTTGCAGTCTGCTCCCGCTCAACATTGACAAGTATGCACACCATGATCTCTAACAGGAAGACCAACTCCCTCCTCGCCGCGCTGGTGTTGAGCGGCTTGTCGTTGTCCAATGCCCAGGGCACAGCCAGCGTGGCAGCAGCTTGCCAGACGCTGTACAATGCCTACCCCGAGTTGACTTTGTTTTCCAACGCGACTGAGTACACGACGCTGAATGAAGGTGGGTTTGATGCAATTGCTTTCCTCGAAACCCCCCCCCCCCTTCCCCCCAAAAAACCATGAAAGAACCTGTCACGATGCGGAGGCCTTGACACCACAAGCTGACCTCGCAATTGGTGCAGATTACTTCAGCGCCGTAGAATGGCTTGGACCGGCGTGCATCTTCACCCCGACGAGCGCCGAGCTCGTGTCCTTCGGTGTCAAGACACTTGCCGCATCGGAAGTAACCTATGCGATCCAAGGCGGAGGACACATGCCCATCGCAGGCGCGGCCAACATCAACTCTTCGGGTATCCTGCTCTCGACCACTGGGCTGGATCAGCTCAGCATATCCGAGGATGAATCCGTCCTGTACGTCGGCCCCGGCAACCACTGGGTCAACGTGTATGACTACCTCGTGCCGTATGAGAAACTCATTAGCGGCGGGCGTATGGGCGTCGTGGGCGTGCCGGGTTATCTCCTCGGAGGTGGCATTTCGTTCTTCTCAAACGAGTATGGCTGGGCCTCCGCCATGATTGTCAGCTTCGAGACTGTCCTGGCAGATGGCACCATCGTCAATGCCACCGCGGACAACGAGTACTCGGACCTCTTCTGGGCCCTCCGTGGCGGCGGAAACAACTTCGGCATTGTGACGAGCTTTGGCTTGAAGACCATCGACCTGGGCACCGTGACCGTCGGCCAGGTCGCATACACTGGCAGCGACCTCCGCGACCAGTACCTCCAGACGGTGTATGACTTCGCCTATGATGGAACCCTCGACCAGAAGGCCGCGGTGATACCCACTGTGACGTGGTCCCCGGCCACCGGCAGCAACGACCTGATCTACTCGGCCATGGTCTTCTATGGCGCCAACGACACCAACCCTGCGGCGCTGGGTAACTTCACCGGCGGTGCCGCCACCAGCCTGCCCGTCAACAGCAGCACCTTCTCGGCCCGCACCATGTCCGACTGGAGTGCGGAGGTCGACACAGGAACCAGCGTGCTCAAGGGGTGGTACTTCAGTTTTGCCGTCGTCCCGATTCTAGCTGATCTGGACGCCATGGGGATCGTGTTCGACACCTTCTTCAACAAGTCCCAGGAGCTCCTGGCCAACGTCACCTACGGCTCCGCCACCACCGCCGTGATGCCCATCTCCAAGTCAAGCATCGTCAACAACAGAGGCAACGCCTCGGGAGACCCCTTTGGTATCGACGAGAGCAAGGCGCCCTTTGTCTGGTTGGAGCAGACATACATATACTATCTGGAGTCGGACACCAGCTATGTCAACTCGGCCATCCAGGAGATCAATGCTGCGATCGACGCGGCGCTGCCCGAGGACAAGAAAGCTGATTTCATGTATATTAATGATGCCGGTGGCTGGCAAAAGCCTTTCGATACGTATGCGTCTGACAATTTGCAGAGGCTGCAGGAGATCAGGGCCAAATATGATCCCGAGGGCACGTTTACTTACCAGGTGCCAGGCGGTTTCAAGCTGGCCGACGCTTCCGGAGGGCAGTAAACCAACATTTATCTTCTTCGATCTGTATGTATTTCTTTGTCGCTAGTAAACTGGAATCGTTACTTTCGGCGGAATATCAAGTTGAATCCTGCAATTGAGTTTTCGTGTTTGTGTCTGTACCGTGTGTATGTCGATTGGTGTTGAATCAATGAGACCGCCAAAATGGTAGAGCGCCTACGTACTTAAAGGCTCCCCGCGAATGTCTCCACTGAAGAAGCTTCTGCCGCAGCGGGACGCAGCACTGACCGCCAACAGAATTAGTGCTATAGTCGGCCTTCTGCCAAGCGTGGACAGTGGACCTTTGGATTATCGTGCACCATTGATTGTTCAGACCGTCAATTCTTTCTCCTTTGAACGGCCACAACTATCACATCTGTACCCAACTATTTTTACTCCTACCCATACCACCACGGACGCGACCTTCCTGAAAAGAGATCAAGAGCAACATTAAGACGCCAACCCTCACCGACCCGACATCAAGATGCCACGAGCCATTAGAGGTCAGCAGTGCTTCCTCGCTCCTTCGAGCTAGTCCCTTCCACGAGTTCCTCCTTGTGTGCGTGTGCGTGCGTGTGCGAAACCAGTCGAGTCTAACGATTACCACTCGTGCTCTCCAGGTGTCCTCGTCCAGTGCGACGCGTCCATCAAGTCGATCATCGTCAGCATCGACAACGAGCGCAACAACGAGTACGTCATCGAGGTTCTAGACGACCAGAATATCGTAGTTAAGGAGACGATGGTGCAACAACTCAAGGAGCTGCTCGAGGACAGGCTCAAGAACACTACACAGCGCGAAGATGTGGACGACTCCGACTGAAGGACCCGGCTTTGGGATCTAAGACTCGCCGAACCGAGACATCAAGCTGTCTACGAGTCGCACCGAAGCCGGTTTCACGGCGATAGTACGAGTACGACACCATGTCACCATCCTACTGTCAATCCCAACGCACAGCGAAGGCTTCGAGCGGGGTGGGGACCAAGAACGACCGATACGATCACGAGCATGGGATCTCACAACAAGCGAGCGGGCCAAGATGATGGCGCGAGTGATGGTGCTTTCAGTATGCCGTCGGGGAAGAGCATCATGCAATGGTCTATGTCTAGAGCTTTTCAAACGTCGGCTTCCTCTTTTGGATGCCAGACAGCAGCGCCGCCGAGACATCGTCCGACTGCAGCATGGCAGAGTTCCATATGGAGGTGTATCGCAGACCTGTAGTGGGATCAGGGCAGTCAGCAGCGCGCCCACGTGAGCAGATAGGAAGGAGATAAAAAGGTACAGCGCAAGAGAATACTTACTCTCCTCCACACTGTGATCCCTCGCGTGATTCAAGAGCTCCTTGGTGCCCTGGACGGCCACAGGGCTCTTGCTCGCAATAAAGTCCGCCATCTTCAGGCCGGCCTCGACAGCCTTGGCCTTGGTCTCGTGGACCTGGCTAACAAAACCCACCGTGGAAGCCTCCTTGGCGTCAAAAAACCGTGCCGAAAGGCACACGTCCTTGACCCAGCTGAAACTTCCTACGCACTTAGGCAGGCGGCTGAGCGTACCGATGTCCGCGGCGAGACCAATGTCGACTTCCTTGACGGCAAATCTCGAGTCGGCTGCGCATATCCGCACATCGCAGCAGGTAGAGAGGTCGATCGCCAGGCCTATTGATATGCCGTGGAGGATACAGATCACGGCTGAGCCCTCACATTCGTCTTAGCCTTCGTAGTCCCTCTCTCATATCCAGTTTCATCCTTTGTGCCTGCTGTTTCTTTTCAAGAATAGGCCCCCCGGGGGGGGGGGGGGAAGACAATGGAAGCTCCACTCACGCTTCTCGCATTTGTCCACAGCCGAGATGCACTCCTGAAACTCAACCAGGTCCCTCCTCCTGATGGTCGTCTCCCGCGCGACATCCATCTTAACCGCGCCGCCCCCGCTGCCCTGTAGCGTGGCCTCACTGCTGGCTGCGGCCTGGACGTCCAGCCCCGCCGTGAAGGCTCGGTCCCCGGCGCCCGAGAGCACGATGGCGCGCACGTCCGGGTCGACGGAGAGCTGGCGGAAGATGTCGCGCAGCTCGAGCCACATGGCGCGCAGGAAGGCATTGAGCTTGGCGGGACGGTTGATTTCGACGTGGGCTACATATTGAGACGGAGAGGTTATTAGGAAATAGGTGTATTTGCTATAAGCGGCAAGGGGGGCCATGGTTGTTGTTGCTGCTATTGTTGCAGTCGTCTGTGCCGATGTGGCAATGATTTTGTGACGAGGCTTCTGTTGACTACCGTGAAAGGGGTAAGGCCTAAACTGGGTCAAACTGAGAGGATGAGTTTTTGAAGAGTCACTGCTTAAGATTTTGAAGCTCGTCTGAGAGGGAGGGAGTTTTCAATGGATCGTGAATTGGCAATCTGGTATTTTCGGGTTCTTTGGCTACCCCAAGCATGCCAGAAGAGGTGACGCAGGTGAGGCTTGTGGAAATTGCCGAGGCACATCTTTCTCTACCGTGGGCATAGAGCATGTCTCCACACTCGTGCTAGGTCCATAACCGCAGGTGAAAGGAAACCCGCTCGGCTAACTGACTGAACTGACTGATTGACTGACTGAGTGTTTCCTACAAATATCAGTGTTTCCTGCAAATATTTCTCTTCTCCTCGCTCTCTCTACCTCTCTCTCTTTCCTCATGCAATCATGAACCCACAGGATGAAACAAGCGGCATGATCGTGAGGGTGCGGGTGCAGGCTGGGACCCGCCTCCTGCCATACCAAAAAGCGAGCTCGCCACACACGAACGGCGACAGTTGATGGATAAATGGGAAGCCGTGTCTATGTACTATATAGATTGGATACACCGGGTGATCTATCTGCAGCCCACCAACCATCCTCTACAGGCAGCTCGCTGGAGCCGGGCGGTGGGTGCCGGGGGTCGCATGAGACTTTCGAGGGAACCCATGAGCCGTTGAGACTAGGGTCGTTAAGGGGTGTGTGTGTGTGTGTGTGTGTGTGTGTGTGGCGTACAAGTACGAAAGTATAGCATAGTGCATAATTATATTCAAGAGGATATTATACTTTTTTCTTCACGGTCACACGGGGTTTCAGCATGGCATCTCCAGATCATCTGTCCTGCCTGGGCTGAGTCGTCAATGGTCGGCGCATGCATCGTGAAATCGTACATTGACCCTTGTCCTCCTCCCTTCCTCAATCCGATAATGAACAAAAAATAGTGACGGATGGGCTGACAGTCCTTGGCGATGAGATTATTGTTCTAGAGCCACGTTATTGTTATTCCTTTCACTAATGAATTAGCGGAGACATTCGAGGCCTTGGGGGGGGGGGGGGAGCCACAGAAGCAGGGTCTTCCCACTATGGTGCTATGGTGCTTTGGTGCTGTAGGTACGATGCTAAGTACTTCTGTATGTACTACGTGGTCTAATATGTATGGTACACTACCCTGCCGGCAAGGCACAACCCAAGATCACGAACCCTTCTTGGGTCGCCTGGCGAAGCATGGATCCTCCTTGCCTGGTTGCCCTGCTCTTCTTGAGAAGTCGACCTTCACCATGTATATATTTTACCGTTGTCACATTGTGACGGGGCAGCCTAAAATTCCACCAGCAGTGAGTGTAAGTCACAGTATGAGCCATAACTAAATTATTGTTAGGACCTGTCGGTAGTGCCTTGTTAGGCACACCTGGTTCCTCAGCTGGCCCGGGCCTGGGCCTGGCTAGGCTTATTTTTGGGGTGGGCGGGGGCCTTTCGAGATCCTAGCACTAGGACAGGGCCTCTAGGGACCCTGGGGGATAGTAAGCAATCCAACCTTTAGGACCTCTAACTCACCACTCAAACTCTCTCCCACCTGCATGCGGGCTGGGCAGACTGGGCTAGGCGGGGGCGGCGCCCATACCAACGATTCCACCATTCTCTCCTCCGCCGACGTGCATACGATCCGACAGCAGCGCTACTTTTTACGGAAATGCACCATCACGCGCATTTCCACATGGAGCACGATACCTTGCAACGCTGACTATCGTCCGTCTTGTACATACCGAAAGCGCCAATAAGGACCAGCCGCTGGATACTTCTTACTGTGGATTACTCGTCCCGTCCAACAACGGGAGCTGTCCTTTTTTTCCCCTGTGCGACCTGCTCTCGCTCTGATCTATATTTGCCACTGCCACATCTGCCCCTTCGGCTGTTGCTTTAGGCTAGCTTGTCCTATCTTTTCTCTTTTCTCCTCTGATAACTACTGCGAACCGACCCACGCGTCTATCATTGCTGTTCTAGGGACTGACGACTCAGCCGTTGCTTCAAAAGAATTAACAAAGTGGAGGGGGCAGAAAAAAAAACAAATTTATCCAGCCCTCTAGAGGAAGGTTATTCCAAAGAAGCTCGACACAATTCTTTTCCAAACTTGCTGCTCTGGCATGCCGGGCGACTTGAAGGCTTTTACAGATATTATTCCACCTTCGGTATCCGTAAGAAGACTCACAGACCATCACGAACCCTTTCACTCCTGCGTGCTTCATCAGGGATCTGTCAAGGTCTCCACAGTTTCTATCGCTAAGTGGGAGACGACCTCCTGGAAGCGGAAGGGTCAGTGTGGGACATCACTCATCAGCAGCCGGCCCCGTCATATTTAGCATCAGGAATTGGACCGAGAGAGGCGCCTCAAAGGCACGGCAATTTCTTCATCACCTGTCTTGCTCCGTCCCCCAGCTACCCCCCATCGTTAATTTACGGCGGTTCCTGTTCCGGAGCCTGACCTCAGAAGCCTCTCTTAAAGGGACTGAGACCCTCTCCACTCGACTTTCTTCGCCCTGCCAGTCCCCCAGCTCAGCTCTGACCCCGACTGGGCCCGAGCATCTTCATCTTGATCACAATCTCGTTCCACTCTCGGCTCGTTACCGTCAAACCCGGCTGCCAATGCTCGTGGCTCATCCTTGACGCTGCAGGCGCTTGACGATTTGACCGACCCCCAACCCACCGGATATTTCCCACTCTTTTAGGCCTCGAGGGCCGTCAAACTAAGGGACCGCAAACCCCGAATTGCACCACGCAACAAACAAACTTCGACTGAATACTACTGCTCCTCATCTTGCTCCTCCTCAACACAGGCCCCCCGGCCCCCCTCCCCCCCCCTCATATTCAGCCGGCGTGCTGGTGTGCTCTTCCCCAACCAGCATCAAAACGCAGTCTTCTGTCCCTCCCGTCCTCCATCAATCACATCAACCTCGCCATCTCTATGCCTTGTCGCCACTGAGTGGAACGGTCTCTCCGTGGTGTCCACCCCCCTCCCGGCCCGACCCTCTGCTTATCGACATCTTGCATCGAAGCGTCGCGACTGCGCTGAACAGGTGCAAGACGCATCGCGAGATCACAACACAACTCCAGGATGGCAGCCCCGGGAGCAGCAAGGCCCGAGGTGGGCGACATTTTGTTGGTCATTCGTAAGTCACCACTCCAGACCGCAACTGAGCAATCCCACTTGCTGAGATGAGCTGTGGGTTTTCGGCTCTGGGGGGCCCCTAAATGCCAGCAGGCATTGGCCGCGTTGCCCTTGGTCCTCGTCAGGCCTCTCTCGCGCGCGCGCGCCAGACCAGAAAGACTGTTGAGATTCGGCTTGTCGATTTGATGTGACCTCATCCGTCTACTGCATGCATGCATGACGGTGCACGCGCGTCTGTGGTCGATTGCCGAGATTCGAAAACCTCAAATGACATTCCAGTGGCTAACCTTGCTTGTCACATTTTCTAATAGATGACTTCACTGCCCGAAGTTCCGATGAATTGACCCTGGCAAAGGGGGATCGAGTCGAACTGGTCGAGAGGGATGATGAGTTTGGTGACGGCTGGTTTCTGGGGAAGCACTTGACCAACGGGAACAGCGGCCTCTTTCCAGAAGGTATGTCCAGACTTGTTGGTGCCTTCCCTCTCGTGGGATGGGGCACACAACTTCCAATACTTCCAGATCGTGTGGCCAGCCTACAGTCGATGTCCAAACAAGTTCATCATTGCAGACCCCAGCTTTTGACGGCCATACCTTGTGTCGTTACAGAAGCTTTCAACTCCTCCTGCGGCCTGTGCCAGCTTGGCCACCCTGTTACAATTCGCTGACCTTAAATCATCACACTACAGTCTATACTCGCCCTGCGCCTAAGAACACTACCACCGCAATTCCTTCGAAACCACCTGCTAAAGCCCCAGAACCACAAGCCACTCCAACACAACCTACCCCCGCAGCGGTCTCGTCCGAGCAAGCTCAGCCTTCGTCGTTACCGGCCCAGTCAAGCCCAACCCCGCCACCATTGACATCAGTCAGCGTGCCCAACGTCGCAGCCATAAGTAACCCTCAGGCCACGTCTGGGATCGGGCATCCCGCCCTCCACGAGACACTAAACGTTATTGACGAACATATCGACGACTTGCGTTTGGGCCCGGGCAATGGTAGCTCGCGGACGATTAACGACTCTGGGAGCGAATACAGTTCACACATAGGTCACAGGCTATCCTACATCCAGGGCGAGGAGACGGACGAAGAAGAAGAGGGCACTCATTCTCGTCTCGAGGTGGAATCCTGGAATCCCGACCAGGTTGCCGAGTACCTCTTCACATCGGGCGTCGAAAAGCACCACTGCGAGGTCTTCCGAGACCAGGAGATCTCCGGAGAAGTGCTGCTGGGTATGGACCAGACGTCGCTCTTCATCAAGGCCTTTGATCTTGGCTCTGTCGGGAGGCGCTTGAAGACCTGGCAAAAGATCAAGTCTCTACAGGACGAAGTCAGTGGTCTCGTTGGGCGGAGGGGAACGCTGTCCTACGGCAGTGAAGCGGGCTCTGACGGCGGAGGAAGGAGAACAAGGAGTCGAAATAATACGGTTACTGGCTCGATCGGCTCCATCAGCAAGCTACCGCCTATCGACGATAGGCCTCTGTCGCAGCAGAAGCGCCGGTCCATCGCATCAACGCCCAAGCTCGACCCTACTGCCGTGCCCGGGTCTCCAGCGTCACAGAGGATACTGGACAGCCCGACGAGACCCAATCACGAGAAGCGACCGTCGGCTGCCTCTGTCCGCGACCTTCACCATTCGAGGAGGCATTCGTCTACCGAGTTTCGGATTTCCAGCACAGCCATTGGAAATGTTGCCAGCTCTACCCCGAAGCTGATGTCTAGCGGAACTTTTCCTCTGGCAGAGCAGGCTCATAAGAAGCAACCCTCCTTTGACAGGAATTGGACACTTGGGGGTGCTTCAGTTTCAAATAGACCGGTCTCTGGCTCGAGGCCGCTCTCTGGTACTGGCTTCCTAGCAGCCGACGCCGAGCTGCAGGACTCGGCTGTCGATCTCGACCGGGGCTACTTCTCCAGCACGGAGGGTGGAAAGCCCCGGAACGTACTGAAAAAACGTGATAGTGTGGCTTCACACAGCCGCAATACAAGTTACACAGAAGAGCAGAGGGTGAGGAGCGCAACTGCCATGGCGCGGCACTCGAGGTTTGGCAGCTTCGGTTCGGCTCGAGGGGAGCCACTGTCGACAGCGGCGCAGAAGTACTATGGCACCACGGCGGCAGCGGCTGGGAACCATAGGAGGACATTGTCGACAGCTACGACCGAGTCGCTGCGCCCTGTGCCACCAAGCAAGGATCCGCCCCCGACCGTCACAAAACTCGATAACGTCTCCGCCGACAACCTGACAGTGTCGCCCTTGACACCTGTCTCACCAGGGAAGGGGCAGGGCACGGATTTCAAGAGCCCGCTCAAGGTCCCCGGCTTGAGGGCCATCTCCGACGCAATTACCGGCCAGGAGCGAGCCAAGGTCGCGCCAGGTCTGGACTCACCTCTCAGGGATTCTCCGCTGCAGTCTCCCTCCAGGACAGGGTCCAGCACCCCCAGCGTTGGTCCCAGCTTCGAGATGGATTCGCCTGACACAACCAAGAGCCCCAGTACTATGGCCACCGTGACGAGCAAGGGCAGCAAGAAGAAGTCCAAGAAGGACACTAGTGCGTACACACGTGGACTGCTTAAGGTATCGCCCCGCGAGGCGATGGTGGATGCCGACTACAGCGGCTGGATGAAAAAGAAGAGCAACACACTTATGACGACATGGAAGCCACGACTTTTCGTTCTCAAGGGCAGGCGGCTCGCCTATTATTATTCAGAGGATGATGAGCAGGAGAAGGGCCTCATCGATATTTCATTCCACAGGGTGCTCCCGGCAGACAATGAACGGCTGACGGGCCTTCACGCAACACTCACCGGCGCAGGGAGCACCCCTACAATACCCGCCAACACCACCGTAGCGACACTTGCTGATACACAAGCCAGCATCGACATCACCTCCACACCCGACTCCATCTTCATCTTTAAGCTTGTCCCTCCTCGGGCTGGCCTGTCCCGGGCTGTCAATTTCACAAAGCCCACGGTTCACTACTTTGCCGTCCCGAACATCAAGCAGGGTAGGCTATGGATGGCGGCTCTGATGAAAGCGACCATCGATCGCGACGACACGCAACCCATTGTGACCAGCTATCAGCAGAAAACCATCTCGCTGCAGAAGGCCCGCCAGATGCGCCATAGGCCTCCGGCACTGATGAACCTCGACGAGAAGGTGGAGGGCGACGAGGAAAAGAAGAGTGATGGCAAAGAGACAAACGGTGGCGGCCTGGGTATCTACAATGGCACCGGCGAGGATAGCGCCGTCTCAGGGCTTGAGAAGCTCGGGTTGTCCAGGGTCGGGAGTGAGAGAAGCAAGCAGTTGGAGAATGGCGAGGTCCCAGCGAACCTGCCGATGAGTGCGTAGTGGGAACTCTGACAGCCACTGGCAGGACCTACTTCAACTCCGAGCTGGTGGCTAGATGTGGGCACAGTACTACTAAGCCAGACGGCAATTTCTCTCTCTTTCTTGGAGCATCGATTATAATGCATTCCAATTTTCCTTGTACCCAAACCTGAATACCCCTTTTCCTTCACAGACTACTGGCAATGGAATGCTTCATATACCCCCTTCATTAATTTTCGATTATATTATTACTACTACTGCCACTACCACTGCTTCTTCACTTCTTTTCCGTGTGGCCAAACCAACAAAGACACGTTCGTAACAAGTGGACTCGAAAGGGAGACCAGACGCCCATGGGAACCTCATCAACGCCAGCACGGGGAAGGAGGAGCGATAAGTTTTGTTGCTGCTTGGTTGTGACGATAAAGGTGGACGCGCAACTGACGAACGCTGGTCCTGCTTATCTTGGAGGTGAATGGGCTCCTGGAGCTTTACTATATGAGCGAAACGCCTAGCTTAGGAGTGACGTCGACGCCTGATCCGGGAATAGCTGATTATTACCCGAGGTTGGTTGTGTGCGCGCGCGGATGGGTAGTTGTATCTAGGATGAATAGGACATGGCAGTTTAGTGTCTGCATGAGAAACTCCTTGACACTGAGTTCTTGTTGGTGTATTGTTGACCGTAAGTTGTCATCCTTGGCGATCATGTTAGACTGCCCATGTCTATGGGCTAAGGGTGTAACAGCATCTTCTCGGTCACCCTGTATTATCATCACTTCAGGAACCCCAATGACAGTGCAGAACAGAATGGAGTAAACGTAGATAGACCCTCTTGACTGTCTCTGGGGTCGTAGTGAGAGAGTACATGTATCAGTCTCGGCTTCAGGTACAACCGCGTCGGCTTCTCGATCTCCCCGAACTGCCGAGGTATGTAAATAATTATTTATGAACTCCAGCTGCGTCTCCACGCTGATCATCTGCATTCTAGCAACGAACCTTATACTCATAAACCTCCAGCCTGTATCTATGGTATTACAGAGGCCATGACTGTACTCAACACGCAGCACGCCAAGGACGTCGCGTCCATCAAGTCTCTCATCCAGGCGTTCTTCGACTCGATCAACACAGCAGACACAAAGACCCTCCAGACCCATTTCTTCCCCTCCGCCGGCCTCACCATCGTCCGACAGGACCCCCCACTGCCGCCCGACGAGTACTCCGCCGGCGTCACCGCCACGGGAGGTCCTGATGCGAAGCTCACGGTACAGCTCCGTACAGACATCAAGTCCTTCGTCAAGCTCATCGAGGACGGCCAGAAGCGGCGGGAGGGCCAGCCACCGGGGCCCGTCCTCCACGAGGCGCCGGATCTGGAGGCTACGGAGGTGAGGATCGAGGCGCTGTTCGCGATGGCTTGGAGCCCGTTTCAGGTCACTTTTGATGGGGAGCTGCATCATTATGGCACGTTTGTGTATAATCTGGGCAAGACGGGGGGCGGCGGGGCGGGGGCTTGGAAGATTGTGGGTTTGACGCAGAGTTATAGGAGAACGCCGGGTTGGCCTGAGGGGGGCTTGGATCAGATCTCATGTGGTCATGACGTGTCGTGCTGGGGTTGCGCCTTGTAGATTGCTGAGGTGAACGATGAAGCTGTTGCTTACACAGACGCGAAGGTGATGTTTACGTTCAACAGCGGTTGCAGTAATTGATGATGATAGTAAATGAGGCGTCGTTTTACAGTGCAAATACTTCTATAAGTACTTGTACGTAAGTACTTACTTAACTAGGCTCTGAAGATGCCCCTGTAAACACCATCGACCCTAACCCTGTAGGAGCCGTGCCATAACATATCATCCAGCCTATTTCGGCACTTACCAAAGCTGATGTCCTCCATCTTCTCGCAGACAACGAAGCTCACAAACCCAATATGCCATCAGAAGCTAGTTGCGAACAACCCAAAAAGAAACCGAGACTCGCCAAGTCATGTGAACAATGCCGAAATAGAAAAGTCCGCTGCGATCTACGCTTTCCTTGTGGGCCTTGCTTGAAGTCGAGGGACCGGCTGAACTGCGCGTACCGGAATAACCCCGGCGACCTCGTTGTTCCTCGCACCGATCCACCACCAAACGAGCATACCGCACCCGTCCCTCCTCCTAATCCCCCTGTTCTGTATAATGAAGGCACCTTTGGGGGGTCAACTGGCCGTGGTGAGGATCATGGCTTTGCGCCGCCCGCCATCACAGGCGCTACCGCCGCTCCTCTCAGCAACGGTCCAGGACATGCTGTCACAAGGCCCCAAGTTTCCCTAGGGGATAAGCCTCTAACGTCTCAGAGTGAGTTGATCCTGAGGCTCGCGGAACGCATACGGCGTCTTGAGGACCAAGCGGCCAGTTCTCGTCTGGTGCCTAGTGGTGAGACAGACGCCACGGACGGTCTGCGAGTACAGCCTACCACACCCCGTCTGCGCTGCACACAGGACAAGGTCAGAATGTTTGGCGAGACACATTGGGTCCATACTGCGGAGAAGGTAACTAGAGACATTGTTATCCCAGGTTGCGTTCATGGCTGATGAAAGCCTGCCAACAAAAAGGTCTTCAATTTCGCCTCTTTTGATGCCGACGTGGAGCCGGACTTGGGCCAGCACAGAGTAGACATGACGAAGACGTGGAAAGAGCTCAGAAGTCTGCGTTACTCTTTGAAAGCAAAGCAGCAGGCCGAAGCCCCAATAGACCCGTCAGATCTCAGTCTCTTTCCGCCGCGGAATGTCTGTGATACACTTACAACACATTATCTGCAAAAGTTCGACCGCATGTATCGCATCTTGATTATACCAAAGTTGAGGGAGCAGACCAACCAATTCTGGAGGGACTCTCAATCTGTTCCCAAGGTCAGTGTCACGTTCATTGCCCCCTCCCCCGTTCCTCCCTCCAATAAGTCACACCGCCCTGTCTTCATTGAACCTAGCAGTTGCACAGGAGTTCAACTTGCCTGAATAGCACGTATTCCGACAGTGTTTGTTTTCCCAGTATATTGTTCACCTGCATCCCTATTGGTCATTTCTTGGCTGATGTCGACCTGGCTCTCCACAGTCTTTCGCCATGAAATATGTCCTGATTCTAGCCACCGGAATGCCGTTTGCGTCCTTTGCTGGATGCATGGATCAGTCAACACGTCAAGCCAGACAATGGATCCACACGGCTCAGTTATGGCTGGCCACAAACGAGAAGTCAACAATCAACTTGCAAGGTCTGCAGATTTTTTGCCTGCTCGTCATTGCACGCCAGGTGAATGGTCTCGGACCCTCGCCATATTTCTCTGCCGCTGCTTTGCTCTCGCTTGCCGTGCGGATGGGTCTCCACCGGGACAAGGACTTCTTTCCAAACCTCTCGCGTGCACAAGCCGAGTTTATGGCTCGGCTATGGTCCACCGTGGTAGAGCTGGCACTTGTTTCATCGCTCGAAGACGGCACAGTTCCCCTTGTGCAACTTACGCAATGCGACGTGAAGAGGCCATTGGACATGGATGATTCAGAAATGACGGATGAGCCTGTTCATGGGCAGTCATACTCTCTTGGTGATCGGGTCACGGACACAACAATCCAGCTGGTACTGCTGCAATCGCAACAACTACGGATCCGTGTTTTAGAAGTGGTCAACAGAACTGGGCCTAGAGCTTCATACAATACCATCGTGGACCTCACCAATCAGGTGCGAAAGGCTTGCGCGGAGGTGTCAGCCTTCTTCGCTTCCCACTCAAAAGTACTAGGGCCCGATGCAGATTTTAACCAAAAATACTTGGATATGTATCTTCGCAAGCACATCCTCTTACTTCACCGACCCTTCATGCTCGAAGCTCGACAAGATCCGCGCTTCTACCTATCTCGCAAGATTTGCCTTGAGACAAGCATGATCATGGCCTCTTACACCGACGAGCTGAACCTGCCGTCACCGAATATGAGTGATTTCTCGAGTCTAATGGTTCATGGCTCCGGCCACCTGCGTGGTGGTTTGAGCCTCGATGTCATCATCACTCTTGCGTTCGAGGTCAACGCACAGCTCCAGGAGGAGGAGAGTACTCTAGGTCCACTTTCAGGTGATCCAGCCCAACAGCTTGCGCAGCAGGCTCGACAGCCCATCACGCGCCGACTGGAGCACATCCGGACGCAGCTGTACGAAATCATCGCCAAAGGAAACCCAACCCTCAAAAGGTTCGGCATAACCTCGGCCTTGCTGGCTCAGATCAAGGCATTGGAGGCAGGTGAAAACGTCAAAAACGCATTCTTTGATGCCATCAAGGATGTTCTGCAGAAATGCACTGAAACACTTCAGGCGTACATGGCCAGCCACGAGGCGCTGGCGTTGAGCTCGACTCAGCTATCACCACCGACTTTTGACAATTTTGACTTCGACCTTGGTGACACGGTATGTCTCTTGCATGTCCTGAGCGGCTCGTTGGAGAACTTTTTCTACACTCAGATATAGTGATTGCGCTGATTACCATCCAGCTCGAGGAGTCTATGGATCCTCTGCTTTTCTTCAATCCCGGCGCATACGAAGGGAGCTCAACCGGTTTTTCGTTCTGAGATGGTTGGCTTAATCGAGAAAGTCGAAACAAATTGAAATGCGCGTCGCAAGCATTCAGGCACAGAGGTGATGTACGCACAAGGTAAATGTACAGCGGAGTCTCCATTTATACTGTCCCTGTGGAGAAACTTGTATTGAAAGCACTAATGTACCATGTACTGAGGTCATACTGGCTCGTCTCTGAGCGTAGAAAAGCGGGCTATACTCTTGGAACAATCAAGATTGGTCCCCACCAAGTTTCTGATCTCACCGAACAAGATATTGGTACTCAGATGTATTTGTGCTAGAGGGGATATAACGAGTTATACAATTTTATAACATTCTGGTTCAGACAGCTACTGACCATTGGAACCTTGCTCTGGTCAGTAAACAAACTCTTGTCCCACCAGTCTCTCAGTCAGCTTCCACAACCTCTCAGCCTCAATATCATCCCGAGCCCAGACCTTGACATAGTCCGAAGTCGCCAAATCAGCAAGCTGGCAATCATGTACAAAGCCGCCATTGCTGTCTACTCTCTTCAAGTCAGCTTCTCTCGATCGGAAAAAGTCCACCGGTATGATAGCTGGGCTCTTACGTTTCAAATCGGGGCTGAATGCCGCAAAAACGAGGGTGGAAGCGCCACACTCGATGCTCTTGAAGGTGAATCTGCCTGAGAAGAGTACCCATCCCTCTATATTCCCAAGTGCCTGGTCGACGGCAGCTACACAAAGTCTCAGCACGCTCAAGGTCATATGCAAAGGCGATAAGATTGAGAAAACCAGGACGAGCACTCACTCATCTCCGCATAGTCCACCGCCGGGTCAAGATGCGCGCCGAGCAGGGTGCCGCCGACAAGCCCAGGGCAGAGGCTGTACGCCTGCAACCCGTGCTTCTCACCGAGCTTTGTTGCCAGGCTGCGGGCGAAGAGCATGTTGGCCGTCTTGGACTGTCCATAAGCACGCCATCTATCGTACGTCTCGCCGTTCTACGAGGCCATATGTGAGTAACGCGGGTTTCCTGATTCGTGGGTCAAGTAACAATCACGTGCAGAAAGTGAGATCTTTGGAAAATCTTCTCGCCCACAAAGAATTTGGACATACGCTGAAATTATAGTCGCCCCACCGGATGCCCCCGAGGCGGTGGCCATTACTGCTCACGGGCACGATCCGCGGCGCTTCGGACTTGAGGATCTTGGGCATGATTAGGTTGGTGAAGAGGAAGGGCCCCAGGTGGTTGGTGGCGAGCTGGCTCTCGAATCCGTCCGGCGAGACTGCGTACTCGGTGCCCATGATGCCAGCGTTCAGCATGACGACGTCCACACGGGGGACATCTTCATAGGCCAGGAGGGCAGAGGCCGCCTCGCGGACGGAGGCGAGAGAGCTGAGGTCGACCTGGAGAACACGTGTCTCGGCGGTTGTGATGGCGTCCGCCGTCTGTTGCGTCTTCTCGAGGCTGCGGCCGGCCAGAATGAGCAGACGGGGCTGGGCGCTGGCGATGCTCACGGCAAACGTGCCGCCGATGCTGGTCAGAGATGCCCCTACGACGAGGACAATCTTGTCCCTGATCTGGCTGCTGTACTTTTCGGCCAGCTCAGTTGCGGTTGTCGTCGCGTCATAGGGCGCAGCATTGAAGGCGGGACGTTCCGAGGCCATGATGTTAGGCACAATCTGGCGAAAGAAATGTTTGTTTGGGTTGAGGAGTCAGGGCTCGAAGGGAAGCTGAGTGGATCTTGTTATTGTTTCTCGAGTATGAGGAGGGCAAAAACAGGCGATGATCTGGATTAAATAGACGCCTGCAAGAACATCCCCTTCAGGGCTTCCGTATTAATACTCGCTCTCTAGGCGTGCCTCAAGGGAAGATCGGCGATAACACCTGTCACAACTATGCGGCGCAGCGCCTCGCAATGCCCGATGGGAATGATTGTTGCACCGAGCCATGGAGTTCATGAGGTCCATCGGCCTTCTTCCTGCACGGCAAAAGGCCGTTGGCTTGACTTGGCTTACAGTTGATTGCCTTCTAGATTCGGCTTCATAATACTGCGTCCTTGGCATCTTCTCCTACGCCGGCAGGCTAATAGAAGGTAAAGCTGTCAAGCCCGGATTTAAGTGGGCAGTAAATTCTACTCCTTATCGTATAATCTCCTGTACTACCATGTATTTGGGAGGGGATTAATATTACGGGGCTTCGGATTTAGGCCTGGCGAGATCGGTCTAGCTGGCGTCAGCCATATGTCAGCAGGACGAATTCCAGCCAACGCTGACTTTGGCAGAGAAGGAGAAGTCGGTCACATGTGAAGTTTCCCTATGTTCTTGACAACATGCACAAGAAATGATTTCATGCTTACTCTAAATGAGAGCTACTGACCATTGTTCTCCGCGATATTAGAGATAATATGTCTGCTAATCGAGACAATTCAATGCATTTGTAGATATTCATCCACTAGTTCCTATTCTTACCTCAGTAGGTACTATGGAAGCATTATAGTCAGAATGCAAAATGGCTAATTATCATTGCGTTCTGCAGGAGTTTCATTGCACACCGTCAAAGACCCTATGGAGACAGACAAGAAGTGTAGAGTATGGATTGTATTATCGACAAAGAGGCAAAGACAGTGAGTGAGTGATAGCGTTGTGAGGACTTGGAACATTGCAAAGGCTTTGCTAGGTGTATCTTAGTCTCCATTGGACGGAAGTGCTGGATACCATTTCAGGTTATATGTATTGAAGCTTTCTCGTTTCCCCTCCTCTTTTCTTCCCTTTCCTTCCTTTTCTTCTTTTTCGCCTACTGCCTCCCTTCATTTTTTTTAATCTCACATAAGTCTCATCTGCTGATCCCGATTTGTAGCGTGCAACGAGCCTATGCTTCTGAAGTGCCATTACCAGATTCCCCTAGACCTAGGACTGCTTCTCTACAGCACCCTTCTCCGAGTAAGACGACTAGATTATTCCGGGTAAAGAGAAATACTCTGGTCAGAGGTGATAGATATTAAAATATTACCAAGTCATCATGGTAGTGGATATTTATTGTCTGAAATGACTAAATTTGTCTCACAATCAAGTCATAGCGGATAGACCATTTGCTTGATGATCCAGATGGCTACACCCACTGCAATAATTCTTCCGACACAGCATGGTCTCGATGACTTGGCCCCCGAATCTGGGTAAGCAGACTTGGCACTTGCCATACCTGGGAAGCGACAGGAATGTCAGCAGATGCAGATTGACGGAACAAGCACTTACACACCACCATCGGGCACTCAGGTCTCGCTTATTTCCCTCTATTTCTGAGGAGGTGCCCAAAAAAGCCCAAGTCGAGAAAGAGCACCACTTGACCCGGAAGGACCTCCACCGAATATTAGATACGTCCCTATTCGGGGAGCTCTCAAGCTGTAGGCCAAGACTTGCAGATGGACGGCAACAGGTCTCAGCAAAAGGTCTCAGTACCCAAGGTTTCAAACTCTGTGGCTTGAGAGTGTGGGTGAGCTCGTATTTGTCCCAATTGTAGTACACGTGACTCCTCGTTTTGTAACATTGACGGCCCGATTCTCACATAGTGGTCTGACTGGGAGGACGAGCCCGACGGCTGAGACACAGTCCAATTCCAGTATAGAGCATTTGGAGCCTCTCGTGTATTGCTATTAAAGTATGGTCGTCTGCTCTGTAATTCCAGAGCATACTTTCAGTATTGGAGCAGGTCTTTTGGTAGAAAACGGTCATACCTTGTTGTCAACATACTTTATCCAAATCGAAGGCAGCCATGCTCTCGAAGTCGTACCTCATTACCCTCGTGTAAGTTCTCGAGTAGTGATAAGGGATCGTGATTGATGACTGACAAGAGGGTAAGCGGCGCGCTGGCCACCCTGGGCGAGGCGGGACGTCCACCTAAGCCCACAAAGCACCACCACGAGAGCATTACAACAACGACAAAAACAACAACGGCAGTTCCGAACAGTGCATGCCCGACTGTGACGGCCACGGGTACGGTCTGCTCGACCTGCATATTCCCGGATTGTGTCGAGCTTTTGACCATCACTAATCCTTGTGATTGCCCGACGTCCGTGGCGACGATCTTGCAAGACTTTCCGTGCACCAGTGGAGGCTGTCATGGAGGCTGCGGCACCTTGTACACAGTTCTCCCGACTTGTGTAAGTACTCCCAAGACCCGTTCCTCCGATCATGGGATTGTTGGCGCAGCACCCAACGGCATAGACATGGCTTCGTATTCTGACCATGCGAGAAGGGCTACTAAATATGCTATAATCCTTGGGAATCAACTTTCGTTTCTGTGACGGTAGGTCTTTATTTCCGTTCAAAAAAGATCCTCAGGACCATCGATAACACGACTGGCAATGGTTCCGCCCGAGTTACGATCCTAATTCCGAGTTTCAACGTCACTAACAGAAAAGCACTAGTAATCAAAGCAGATCTTTTCCAGGGCTCCAGTGAACATGACGGGCTACGTACAGGGGAAATGGTAGAGAGACCCAGACGTTGACGCCGACCAATCAAAGTAGCAATTGAGAAACATTCTTGGAGAATTTATACGTAATTACTTAGCGGGTAGCTTAAAGAAGATTCACCAATAACGACTGCCCAAGCCCAATTTGCTTGAATACAGCACATGCTTAGCTATGTGTCCGACTGAGAGATCTTGTGTGGACTCTGTAGTGGAGTTGATGGAATCAAAACGAGCCTCATATCAGCCGAATTCATGACAATGGAAAGTTTGGACGCATCAGGGAATGGAACATGGCATAGTCCTCAACTGGGCTATGGGAAAGCTGAATTTTAAGGGTACATATCCAGAATCTATCCTTCCACAGCGGCAACAGCCGCAGCATCACCTTTCAGCTCAGCTTCGTTGAATTCCGGGTCATGTGCCGGCAGTTCAAGATGGAACTTGTACGCCGGCGCCACCTCCACCTTGACTTCGCCATCTGAAACCAGAGCAAGGAGATGGCCTCCCCGCTTCTTGTCTGCACTGATGAAGTGCAGGTGGTCGCCGGCCACGCTCACGTTCTGCATGTACGCGGGTGAACGAAATCCGATGATCGTTCCCTCAACTGGCTCCTCGAAAGTCTTGGACGTCTGGTGGGCCCCGACCTCGGTGAGACCTTCGTGAGGCTTGCTCTGTCCACCCACTGTCCGGACTGTGATGCTCTTGAAGACGCCCTGTATGCGTATGGCAAGATAAATGTTATGGGCGTCCGGGAGGAGAAAATGTAGTAAGCCAAAGAGATCGGCCTTATCTGATAGTACGGCGCCGGTGGTCTGTTCTGGCTGGAAATGCGTGACCATGGCGAAAGGCGCCACGACCTTGGACGCCGGGCTCACGTCGACCGACGCCACGGTGCCGTCGGACTTCATCTGGTAAGCCACGCCGTCTAGGACGATCATCTCGCCCACCATGTGCCGAAACGTGCCTAGGCCATGGTCGCCGTGGCTGAGGAGGGTCGAGATTGGCAGGCCTTGGTCAGCCACGCCATCCATCAACGCGGATACTATGGAGTATTGGAAGATTTCATTTGGTGCCATAGTGAAAGGATCGAGAGCAGTCACCAGTCGAGGAAAAGAGTTGCTGTCGTCGAAACAAAGGGCTGGCCCGTGCACCAAGAACGTATGGAGAGCTTTGATGAAACAAAGAATCCAAGAGGCTATTATGAAGTGGTAAAGCTGGAGGGACAGATGAGATCTTGTTGGGCAAACGAGGCAGGTGGAGGAGGCAGATGGCGACGTTGTTGAAGGAAGGTGTTGAGAGCATGCTACGATCCTACGATGGGAAAGTCGCCGGCAGAGGTTTGCTTAGTCATTTCCGCCCAGCCTTGCCTACTACTCGACGACGTCACGAAAGTTAATTTTTATATCTCACTACAGCATAGTTTACACAATTCACGACGCTTCAGCTCCAAACAAAAATCTTCTTCTTTTTGGACCAGTGGGAAAACAGACAAATTAACCATCAGGATGTCCTCAGAAGTGGAAACCGTGGACATCGTGATCGACTCTCTGCGGGCTGCCGGGGTCAAATACGTTTTTGGAGTTCCTGGAGCAAAGATCGACTCGGTCTTCAACGCCCTCGTCGACCATCCCGAGATCAAACTTATCGTCTGCCGCCATGAGCAGAATGCAGCCTTCATCGCAGGGGCCATTGGCAAGATTACAGGTCGGCCAGGGGTCTGCATTGCGACCTCAGGTCCTGGCACGAGCAACCTTGTCACGGGCCTGGTGACGGCCAACGACGAGGGAGCTCCCGTGGTCGCCATCGTGGGCAGTGTCCAGCGGTCGCAGGCTGCGAAGCGCACCCACCAGAGCCTGCAGGCTGTCGCCCTGTTGAGGCCCGTCACCAAGAAGGTCACCGCTGCCGTGGTCGAGGACCAGGTGTCGGAAATCATGCTAGATGCCTTCCGCGTGGCTGCTGCCATCCCGCAGGGAGCTACTGTTGTGAGCCTGCCAATCGATATCATGACGGCAGGCCACAAGTCCTCGATGCCTGCTGCGCCGGCTCACGCGTTTATCCCGCCTGCGTATGGACCATCCTCCGAAGCAGCCCTGGCTGAAGCGGCTAAGCTGATCAGCCAGGCCAAGTTCCCAGTGCTCTTTCTGGGCATGCGAGGTGCAGATCAGAACGTGGTCGATGCAGTCCATGGATTTCTAAGAAAATACCCCATCCCAGTCGTAGAGACCTTCCAGGCAGCGGGTGCCATCTCTCAGGAACTGGTTCATCTCTTCTACGGACGTATTGGGCTCTTCCGCAACCAGCCGGGCGACCAGATGATCAGGCACTCGGACCTTGTGATCACTGTGGGGTACGACCAGGCAGAATACGACGCCAACCAGTGGAATATCGAGGGACATAGCTTGCCCATTATTCACATGGACACTAACCAGGCCGCTATGAGCGTGTCCTACAGCCCCAAGCTGGAGCTTATCGGCTCAATGGCTGACAACCTGGCCGCGCTTACCGACAGAGTCACCACGGTAACGCGCCCCCAAGACACCCAAGTTGGCCAGTCTATCTACAAGACCTTCCACGAGTGGGAGACCGGCGCGAAAGCCCAGGGAACCGTCAATCCGAAGGGCCCTGTACATCCTCTCCACTTCATCAGGTTGCTACAGGGAATGATTACCACTAGCACAACCGTGACCAGCGACGTGGGAAGTCTATACATATGGCTCTCTCGCTTCTTTTACTCGTACGCACCAAAGACATTCCTGGTCAGCAACGCGCAGCAGACACTAGGTGTCGCCCTGCCGTGGGCCATCGGCGCATCATTGGTCCACGGCCCCGAGCAGAAGGTAGTAAGCGTAAGCGGCGACGGCGGCTTTCTGTTTAGCGGACAGGAGCTGGTAACAGCCGTGCAGCAGGGCTGCAATATCACACACTTCATATGGAACGACGGCAAGTATAACATGGTCGAGTTCCAGGAGGTTGACAAGTATGGTCGGAGTGCAGGCGTCGACCTGGGCGGTGTGGATTTTGTCAAGTACGCAGAGGCCTTCGGGGCAAAGGGTCTAAGGGCAACCTCATCCGAAGAGATTGAGAGTGTGATGAAGGAGGCATTGGCATACAAGGGGGTCTGCGTGGTGGACATCGTGATTGACTACTCGGACAATCATGAACTCATGGCGAATGTGATAGCGGGCAGTATATCATGAGTGTAAGAGAGGAGCTCATATCATAGACCGTTTTCTTTGGATCTAGACTGTTGGTATGAATCACCATAGGCGGAGTGGGAGAAATGGGAGGGTGACTTTGTGTCCTTGCTGTGTCTGCTCCCTCCTCGCGTATTTTTATTTATGACTTACTGCTGCTGCTCAGGGACCCCGAGGAAGGCCCTCTAGCTTCTGCTGTAGACCTCCTCCCGAACTCCTCCCCTCCCCTCCATCCTTGCACCGACAGCTCTAGGGAAACAACATTATCCAAGAAAGGGTCAGAGGAGCTGCATCTATGGAACGCTCCAGTACATCTGTGATAGTAAAGAAAAGAGCTAGTCATGCATGATTGCTGTATGGGTAAAATAAAAAGTAATGTGTTACACGGCTGGGGTGCGTCCAGCAGGACGGCACCCGGGTTAAGCGCCCGGGCGGGTCAACACTATCTCAGCAACGATAAGTTGGCTACGATCCTTCGTGAACACGTCGACCAACGTGCAGGGACCTAGAGCAGTTGGGCGTCAAGGCATCACTACCAATGTAACCCTCGCCGTCTATAAGAAGGCGAGGTCAGGACGACCGGACAGAAGGAAAAAGAAAAACCTCAAGCACTCCTTAGACTCCCTTAGCAATTATCGTTGAAACTGAAGCTACTTCCAAGCCCTCCACTAGAGCCCTTGTAACATAATGAGCAAGCCGGGGAAACTTTGTAGCCTTTCCCAGAATGAAGCAATATCGAGAGGCTGGAGGGTGAAGGACACACTTGTTGATGATGCGAGCTAGAGGTACTTTTTCTCCCTTGCTTAGCCATTACAGCATGTGAAAATCATGGCATGATGGCATCTGCAATGAGTTTCTTGTCTTTAGAGCCAATAGCTTTGGGAAATTCCTTTTCCGTTAAAGCTGGTAGTCCCTACACAGCAACGTGGACCAATGTACTATGGTTAGATGGGTAATATTGGTCATCCCAGGCAGGTTCTGTGGAGCTTCTTTCGCAGCGACCCACTAGTATTTGAGTGACAAGATACCATCGAGGAGGTACCATAGTATATGACTACTTCCTTCTCGCTCAAGAAAGGCGAAGATTGCCAGTGAGGGGATCTCGAGCCTCTGTAGCTCCTTGTAATGAGCGGTGGTGGAAGGTGCCACTGTACTACATAGATCAAAAGATCAGCCAATATTCGAACTCTCTGTTCGAATATTCCTTCCAACCGTACATATAGCTGCTACACCTGGACCAAGGGCTGTAACAAAACATCGGAGAAGGAGATCAACCGCTTACTGGACTTAGCTCAATCCACTCGCAAAAATATTCAGAAGGAAGCGGCTGACTTAGAGCAAAAACGCCATGACACAAGGACTGCAACCGAAGCAGAGTATAAGAGGTGCCTAGATGCACATTACCGGGCACAGGAGAAGTGGAAGGCATGTAGACTGTTTTCTTTTGGTCGTACTGCTAGTCAATCTGGGATAAAGAAGGGGAGGAGGGCAAGACAGGTGAATCAATCAGGGATACTGACTTGAAACAGTTACCAGAATCTCATATGCGACTGACACCCTCCTCTGAGGAAACGCATCCTGACGCGTCCGAAGCGTCCCCTCAGAAACGTGGGCATGAATGTCAAGGAGATGACTCGAGAGACAACGCCAAGAAGCTACGGCGCTCATCGATTGGTTCACAGAGGCCCAGGTCTCCCCGTCAAGAAACATCTGTAGATCGACAGTCTGATGACGAATGGTTCCGAGACTTGGACCGTCCTTCAACGATGGTCAGTATCGAAATTGCTACATATACAGATATACATATATACAGCTCTTGATGGTGAGATGTGTGGCTGACGGTTGAGATTCACTTGCAGCCTCATCAAGAAGCGAACCCGCAGACTCTCGAGACCAGCGACGGCCAGAATGAAGGTCAGAACCAAGTCCCTACGCTCAGCGTGGACGTTGAACTCAATGATAGAGAAGGCCTCGCACCACCTGAGGAGCTGGGCGATGAAGACTCGGTCTCGCTCATTGAAACCAACATCCAAGCACCCATGTCATCACCAAAGGCTCCAGGCAAGCAACCCAGGACAAAAGGCACTAGTACGCCAGGCCCTCAAGGTCCCAGTTCCAGCGCGGATGAGCGAACCGCAACAAAGAGTCGAACCACGATCACCTTCTATGAGGTATATAATGATACATGCTGCAACAACGTCAAGCAGAAGCAGAAGCTGATTGAATGGCCTGACGGTTCGGGAGCGTGGTACATCTTCTCCTGTGACCCGTGCCATCTACGCTGGCTGGATGACCCTCTCCTCGAGGCGAGGCAGCATCTATCGGCACCTCAGCACAAGGGTGCCGGATCTGACTATGATGATGCGATCAGGGAGTTTGGATGTCTCGTCTCTGACTGCACTCATGAGGACGCCGTCAAGAACAATAACCAGATCGACGCATACATCAACGACGGTCTGCACAGTGCTCCCAGCTCTCCACAGAGCTTTGCCCCTCAGGGAAGCGAATCTACCATTGTGGTTATCACGAACCAAATGTTACAATCCGGCAACGGCACTGCTAAAGATGCTTCTGGGGCTACTCCAGAGAGCCCCCAGGCCAATGGTGCGGATGCTGAAGGCAATGAGGCCACAAGGAATTCCGAGGACGAGAACTCATATGGAGGGAACTCCAAGGATAAATCGAACGTGTCTAAGTCCATTACCAGAAGAGAAATCCGAAAACGAAGAGCAAAGAAGTAGATAAGATGCTACACCCACCACAACACCGGCCAGGGGAGAGGCGCATAATGTCTGAGGGAGAGGGTCCGAGCAATGCATGTCAGAGTGTTGTTACCTTAAAAAATAAATAAAAAAGAACTTCTTTCATTGTCGTTGGAAGGGAGACTGTAAAAGTTTGTGGACAAATTATAAACAAGACCATGACAGACTGCTTTCAAATAGTAATGGTTCATTCCTAGTTCATTCCTCTTTTTATCCTTCTTCTTCTCTCTGTGAAATTAATCTCTGCTTACTGCTGCCACTCCCTTCCGTCAAACCCCCTCAGAAATCTCCACAATAATATTCGCCAGCTGTTCCGGCTTCGAGAGCATGGGCGAGTGTCCCGCCGCGATGTTCTTCACCTCCGAACCAGCAGCCTGGGCAAACCGTTCCTGCACAGGCGGGGGCAGAGCCGGGTCGGCCGTGCAGACCACATACGTCGACGGCACATAAGAGTAGGCACAGCGCGTGAGCACGGTATCGAGGACCCCAGCGCTCTGCACGGTCATCCTGTCCACCAGAGACGCAGCCTCTTCAGGCGGCAGGTCGTTGTAGATGAGCGCGCGCGGGTCTAGCATCCTGATGCGCCCGTCCTCGATCGTGTGGTTGGGACTGTCCCTCATCGCGGCGCCGATGGACTGGCCTGGCGGCATTACGAACGCCGCGACGTAGATGAAATGCGCGACGCCGCCCGCGAGGAGGCCGCGGTGCTCACGGCTGCTCAGTGTCAGCTCCTCCGGCACGGCCTCTGCGCCCACGAGGCCGCCGTAGGAGTGCATGACCACGACTACCTTCTTAGCCTCGTCCTGGACGAGTCTTTGGAGGGCGGCCTCGATGACTGCGCTGTCGTCTGCCAGGGTCTTTTGCGGGAAGTCGGGTTGGTCTTGGCCTGTGAGGCTGGGTAGTTCTGGCTGGACGACCCCGAAGCCGCGGGACTCTAGCAGTTTGACGAATGGGCTGTAGACGTCGGGTCGCTGGAATGAGCCCTGGATTAGGAGGATGGTTGGGTGAGCAGGGGGACTCATGGTGAGTAGTTATGTGGTAAGTGGAGATAGGCGACTTGTAGAAGCTGAGAGGAGATGGAGGTTTGGGAATGATATCTGTCTGCTGTTGCGAGATCACGAACAACGGTTTGCTCAATGTATGACAGATCAAGGAGATGTTTACAAAGCGGTGATACTCATGCATTATTAATGAATTGTAGGCTGTGTACAGCACCCCTAGCCAGGAACTGTTGGATCGAAGGATTTCTGGTGTCGGCATGCTAGGCATAGTCTTTATTGGATAATAGTGGTTATACTGGGGACCCATAAGCACTAAAGAGCCAGCATTCATAATTCTCATCGGTTATCATAGCAAGGGCCTGAATCCAAGCACTGGCAGCATTGAGAAGGAGGTTGTAAGGAATAGAACATATTCCCGCTTTCTTTCTTAGGTAACCAGTGCAAGTGCTACTGTGAAATATACAATCTAGTTGGAGATAAATAATTGCTAAGGATTGTCGAAAGCGAGAGCAGATGCCAGCTGGTGAATTCCTTGTAATTACTGTAATCAAGTGTGTGTAAGTAGGCAGAGCACACTTGCTGGCTGGCACGATGCTGGCCTCTATTGTCCACCAATCACGCGGGACCACCACAACACTCAATCCATAAGTTGCTTTACAGGCCACAGCGTTGTCGTCCCTCCCTAATTCAGATGGACCCATATAGGTTTAAGTAAAGATAGCGTCAATGTACTATATGAACTAAACACTAACCCCTACTGGGAAGTTAATACGACCTGAGACGGACCAGCGTATATGTACTATGATACCATGATAGGTTGAGAACGCCACTGTCCATCTCTCGTTCGTCTATAGTGGCCCAAACCCCGCGAATCTCTAGATTCATGATATCACATTCTAAACCCACAAAGAGAGAGAGAGAGAGAGAGAGAAAACGTTTGCTTCGAAGTGACTATCACCAGAGAAATATTGTGGACTGCCGTTGCTGTGTTGTCTGCCTTGTCAGTGACAAGATTGAAGGAAGTCATATATACACAGTTACACCATGTGGACTGAAAACATGCCTGGCTGGCTGGAAAACCAGCAGCGCAACCCCACGACACCTGCTACACTCACCGTCCTCCTTCTCCTCTCCTTCCTCACCCTCGCCATCGGCAGCACCCTCCTCACAGCCTTCACCTGCCCCGTCCGCTCCCTACCTGGACCATGGTACACAGCCTTCACCCACCTCGTGCTCAAATACCACATCATCGCAGGCCGCCGTATCTACTACGTCGACGCCCTCCACGCTAGATACGGCCCCATCGTCCGCATCACCCCCTCCGAAGCCTCCATAGCTGACCCAGCTGCCGCGCAGGCCATCCACAAGCCCGGCAGCGGTTTTACCAAGTCCGCCTGGTACGAGATGCTCGTGACAGCCGGCCGACCCGAACTCGCGGCGCGCATCGGCGTGTTTGCGCTACGCGACCCAGCACGCCATGCCGTACGGCGTAAGTTATTTGCGCGGCCGTTCAGCCTGTCGAGCCTGCGGGAGAATATGGAGGGTGTGGTGAGGGAGAGGGGGGAGCTTGCAGTGCGGCGGATCCGGGAGGAGGCTGCCGGTAGTGGTGCCGGTGGGGTGGCGGATGCGCTGAAGTGGTGGACGCTCATGGCGACGGATGTTATTGCGCAGTTTTGCTTTGGGGAGAACTTTGCGTCGTTGGATGTTGGCAAGGTGAGTCGCTCCTTGGTCTATGAGAAGGAGGAGGAGGAAAGATCAATTGCTTGATAATGCAGAAACCTCGAGTTGAGATGTTGACGTGGGAATCTAGCAAACGCCTTTTATCGATGCCCTCCAAAGGATGCTCATCTGCAACTTGCTGCTGGGCGAGTTCCCTCTGCTGAACTGGGTCGGCCCGTATCTGCCCATTCGATCTATCCAGCGCCTCTTCGAAGCAGATCGCATTGTGTTCGACCATGGATCTATAGGTTGGTCTTTGCTTCCTCTTCTGCTTCTTCTTCTTCTTCTGTGCTTGTGAGCGATTCCAGATCATGTAAGCATGACAGACTGACCACTTCCAATAATCATCAAGCCATCAAAAACATGCGCAGCGCTTCTGGAAACATGCGCAGCCTCTTCGGCCAGGCCCTCGTCCAAGCCGACAGCGCCGAACAGAGCCAACTCACCGACGACACGGTGCGCCACGAGGCGGCCAACCTCATTCTGGCCGGCGCAGACACGACGGCATTGACACTGACGTACCTCCTCTGGTCTGTGCTCAAGCGCCCCGACCTGCGGGCTGCGCTCGAGGAGGAGGTCGCGGGGCTCAGCGGAGGGTTGACCCACGAGGAGCTGGTAGATGCCAGGCTGCTGAACAGCATCATCGACGAGACTCTGCGTCTGTACACCCCTGCACCCAGCGGGCTGCAGCGTGATGTCCCGGCTGGGGGCCAGACGCTTTGTGGCATGTACATTCCGGCGGGCGTTGTGGTGTCCACGCAGGCGTACACGCTACATCGAGACCCAAAGGTCTTTGAAGATCCGCTCGAGTAAGTTCTGAGGATGGATGATGGTGACAGGGGCCATTTTCCCAAGCTGCCAGCAGCAGCTCATCGGCTGGGATGACTTGTGCTGACCAGACACAAAAAACAAGGTTCGATGGCTGGCGGTTCGTGAAGCAGCCAGCGACAGAAGGCTTCCCTTATGCCCTTTGGCGCGGGGACGCGTCTCTGTCTTGGCATCCACCTCTCCATGATGGAGCTCCGCATCGCCACAGCTCTGTTCTTCAGGAAGTGCCGCGGTGCGCGGTTGGCTGCCGACATGACGGACGAGAAGATGGTGATGGTCGAACACTTTCTCGTTGCGCCGAAGGGGCATTGTTGTCATATTGTCCTTTCCTGAGGAGAAAAGTGGAAGAAGCAATTGCTATGTTTGGGCGCAGCATAAACGAAGTCGAGTGCGTTCCGAGGCCGAACACTCTGTCTGCAGAGCAATACCAACAGGAGACACTGAGATCATTGGAAGGCGTTGGAATGCTGAAGATGACACATAAAGCAGGATATTTCAGCTATACTTCAGTTACAAAGATGGACGCGAAGAGGGAAAGAAAGAGATTATACGAGGGACCTTTTAAAGATAGAAATTGAAGCCGCGACGGTAAGGGCAGACGAACACATCCAGAACGTAATCAGGGGGCCCATACTGCACCACCTGTGGCGTCAGCCTCGCGCCCAAATGTCGTCAGCTGGTTCGTCTAGAACCACGCGTTCCTGTTTGGGAAGCTGGCAGCCTCGTCACAATAACGAGGTCATGGCGCCCAAGGTGGTGTAAATAAGCAATAGTATCTCATATCAACTGGCCAGAGCCTCGAGCGATCACAGGCAGGCTCTCATTGTGAATAATCGTAACGGTCCAGAGCAAGTAGGCATAGTGCAACATTCGTCTGGCTTCTGTACATGTCCAACGGTGGTCAACCCGCGAGCGAAACTACAAACTACCGCGGTGCCCTCCCCTCCTGTCGTGGCAGAAGAGAGCATGGCGAGCCTCACGGCCCATAGTAGCCATTCCGCTCTGACGCGTGGATCTGACTCCGATGAAGGAAGCATGAACTTTTGACCATTCCAACTCTGTGAGGAATGAGTGGCCACCGTTGTCGCGACTTGAAGACGCAGGGGGATGGATTTCGACCAACGGGTTGCCGACTCTTGGAGGGTTGCACGGTGGCGGAACGATGCTATGATTCCTTCCTTGCTATATTTTCAGCACCAACCTGGCCCAGGCGTGCGCCAAAGATTGGTACGGCTCCAGTGCACAACTGGCAGCTGGGGGTTCCCGGTACGACCGGACAAGACAATAGAGCGGGGTGGGTGAGTGCATGAACAAGTGTCAGTCACCGCTCCCGTGTCATGAGAGGACAGAAGAACCAGCTTGGTACAAAAATTTGCCACACTCCAGTGTGTACACCATGATCAGTGTGGCACCAATGGCGAGGTGTCCAGGGGAACATGGTTTCTAGTGGTCCGGATGCCAGCATGCCGGTGTGTTCGTCGAGGTCAGTGACCGACTCCAGGGATAGGTTGGTAGCGAGAGCGGTCCTCTTCCCAACCTCGCTCATCCACCCTCAAACCAAGTTGGCGAGCGTGAAGAAGAGCAGGCTCATTCATCTCTGACGTGGCAGTTCAGATTACTCAGGTCTTTCTCTCTGGTGAGGCCATGGTGGAGGCGAATCCGACCGGAAAGAACTGTCCAGGTGTTTTGTTTGGTAAAACATGGAACAGATTCGGAAGCCAGCAGGGCACTGACCCGATGGTTTTAACGTGAAAGAAGTTCTGGCCGATGAGAGGGTGGATTGTGGGCGCCAGAGATGGGATGGAACCAAAGTTGTTGCAACATGATTTGATGTGTCCCAGGGCACGCTCTCGCTCATGTTCTTCCGGGCGCTAATGAGACGAAAGAATGTCTGCGCTTCAAGGGCGTCGCAGGCGCGCCTCATGTGTGGTATCGACTCAACCTGGCTCTGGCTAGTTGGATGGCCATTCATGCTTGTTTTTCTTCTTGAAAAATAATCGGAAAAGATGGAGATTGACAACTCAGCAGGTGGTGCAGGATCAGTGGATCTGGGCCTGGTGGTTCAGGTTCCTTTAGGCGCATTGCCATGAGGCCGAAGGTGTAGCCCCAGGTATTACTGCTGTACCAAATACGGTAGCACTACCGTACCGCCAGCAACGATGACACCCAACGGCGGTCATCTGGTGATTGGATGCTGAGATAGGACGATTTGGTCCACCTGAGGCAGTGGCTCGTGCCTCACGCTACGGGAGGGTCGGAGACAAGGGGGTTCACAAGCTGCTTGAGATTTTCTCCTTGTGGTCCCCAAAATGCAACACCAGTGCTCGTTAGGCTAGGCTGGGCATAGGCTGAGCAGGGCAGGGGCTAAGTTGCATGTGGGGGTACAACCTGATAAACAGCAACGGCGCTGGAGAATACGTACATAGGATTCATAACATGGTGCTATAGACTGTTATGGACTACGTATTAGTGGTGCTATAGTACGAATATGCATAGGCAGGAAACAGGAGATGGGGAGAAGAGAGAGAGAGAGAGAGAGAGAGAGAGCATGAGAGGCGAAGAGCCCACCCCCCTCCCCTCCAACAGGGGAACAGCACTGAAAATAGGAAACAAATTAAACTGCAGTTTATGCCGAGAGTGTGCGGGTCTTGGCGAGGACCCGTTCATCTGATCAACTTGGTTGAGTGGTTCAAGGATGATTCAATTCAATGTGCCGATCTTCTTGGGTCTCGACTGGAGTGGAGATAGAGAGAGAGAGAGAGAGGCAGACAGGAGAGGGATTTCGCGATAAACAAATGATCGTCGCTGGCCGACGTTAGGGCCAGGATAAAACATGCCCAGCGCAGAAAAGACGCAAGCAGTTCACAAAGCACTATATAGAATTTGCAAGAAAGGAAATAGGAGATTTGGCATGCGCCTGCCAAATCGGAAATTATCGTCGACCCGATGCTCTGTCTGCGTGCAAAATATGGAATGGTCATCTGGATTTCCATTCCTCGTGTGACAGGGAAGATGTCAACGTCAAAGCATAAAGACGGTGGAGATGCTCAAAGAGGCAGTGCTGGAATGCTCCTTTCTCCTCTTGGCTCCCTCAAAATGAAGTTCGCTTCATTGAGAGGAGAGAGAGACTGGGAGTTGGGCGGTATCGAGTGGGAATTTGCCTTGTTTCACCTGGCCAGAAATGGCAATGGCTCGGCTAGTGCAAGGTACCAACTTAAAATCCTAGCGGCAGACGGCACGAAGGGGAGCCAGTCCCGTCGAGGCAAGGTTGAGGGGGTACCATAGCAATGTCGAGGGGTGAGTCCCCTTCATCAATCGAGCCGCAACAACGGTGCTCTGTCCTCGACGTCTAAGCCTCATGTCGACTCCATCCACTTTGGCCCTCCCCTGTCTCCTTCCTTTCCCCTCTCTCCTTCACCTTCAATTCTATGTCAAACCATGTCTCTTGCACCTTTGACCGTCTCTAGAACGTTGAATCAGGGCCAGCCTTGTGCGATCGGGTTCGGTGGGGTATGGTCAAGTTCTCTCGATCTTATAAGACTGAGCTCGGCTGGAGCTCTAGCTTATGCATGCCTCAGCTTCTGCGGCTTCTTGCTGCCATGGATTGAGTCCTGGTGTCCATTTCCTTTACTCTTGAAAAAAGAAAGAAAGAACGGGCCCCTACACAAGCAAAAGAGAAGGGGAAAAAAACCGGCAATCTATTGTGGTTGGGTTGCCAAGTCTTCAACACCACTCAAAAGCCGCGATGCTTTCTCACTAAGATCTACAATGCAATATCGGTTTTATCAAGTTCCGACCGAGATAACTAACCGTACAGGCTAGGCTCGCAGGACTAGCTTGGCTACCTGCCTCCTATGGATAGAGCTTACGTGCGCCTACAGAGTATCATTATCATTATCCGCTTGGTCGTCGTTCTCTTTCTTTTGCTTCTGTCTTCTTGCCATGCACGGTGGAGGATGGGGCTGTTGAGGTGCCAGCCAGTATGCGGTCTGAACCCAAGGCGGTCAGGCAAGACACGTCACTGCAGATATCGCACCCATGCAGTGGGAAAGATGTGGTGGCACTGGTCTACTGCTCTGGATTGATCCGGCTTCAAAGTACTGCAGTATCGCCCAGAAGCATTCCGATATCAGACGTGATCATATTTGAGATCTTCTCTTTTGTGCCCCAGATCATCGCATCTCCATATTGTATCTCCGATCACGCACACAGATCAGAGAGGAAGATCATCGCAACAGCCTTGGGTTGGGAAGAGTCTGCTTTTTTTGGAGGTGGGGTGGACCTCTGGCTCTGTTTGCGCTTCCAGACTTGATTCCCTGTTTTCATTGACTCTTGTCCATGCACGATCCGGTTAACCGTTTGGTCTTGCTGGCCTTGGAGCCCACTTACTGAGGCTCCCAATCACGACATGCCACAGGCGCAGTTTCCCCCCCAGCTACCTTGGTACAGCGAGCATTGGGCAGGCACACTGGCAAGCAGTCGTGGCTGCCATGTATGTACATGGTATCTAGCACTCTGGCTTTTTCCTGCAGGCGCTTCCCACCCCTGCTGTGTATGCACTGGAACCACAGTCGTCAAAGCTCCACCACCAGACGTTCGGAATATTCATCCATAGCCACTACGACTGCATCCCGGCAAGGCAAGGTCTGGGTCAGGGGTTTTCGTGATACATGGTCCTCCTTGTCCTCCCACGCTGGCATTCCTCCCACCACTGTGGTGACCCCCTGCGTTTCTCCTATCCTACAATATATATCCTAGTGGGTCGACATGTGGTAACGTTTTTTTATGTCTTCTTCTCCCTGGTTTTTTTTGGATCTGCCTGTAATAGTAGAGTCACTTCTGTTCTGGTATTCTCTCTTTCATGCTGCTGTATCGGTTGCATTGCTGAGCAATTACTTCCGATATACGGTCGTTTTCATTCTTTCGTTTCCACACTCGCTCCATTCCTTCCTTCCTTGACTCTTTCTTCGTCCGCGCTGGACCTGACTTTGACTACAAATCTCTTCTTTCTCCCTCTTTCTTTCTCTTCACGATAACTCAGGTCAAGAATTCAGCAGGAGGCACGTCGCCCCATGATAGCCAGTCTATCAAGTCGAACTCCAACCAATTTCTCCTGACTTCTCATCAAACTCTTCCCCCCCGCGACCAGTCTTTTTCTACAACTGGTTTTTGCAGGACCACTCCCTTTTTGTGCTGTGTCCCTGGCACATATTAAGAGGACAACAACCACATCGCCCCCCTCAGAGCATCCCCCTGTCCGAAACCACGTCAAAGATGCGTACACGGACATCTGCTCTTGCGGCGGCGGCGCTGCCGGCCCTGGTTGCTGCCGGCACAGTCCCTACCTACTCTGGAATGTCTGTCGTATGGTCTGCAGATTTTGAGGGTGACGCAGGGGACTCAGTAAATACCGATGTTTGGAATATTGCCACATGTGAGTCAGGAAAGAGATAGGCGCTTTAAACATCCCTCCCCCCCCCCCCCCAAAAAAAAAAAAACCCAAAAAAAACCCCCCCAAGGATCTCTTCTAGATTTCTGACCGTCTCCCAAATAGCGATCGATACGAACGCCGAGGTGCAGAGCTACACTACTGCAGCTGCCAACCTGCAGCTCTCTGGAGGAGGTACTGTGCAGTTCGTGCCCTGGAAATCGAATTCCGGGTCCTGGACCTCTGGGCGCATTGAGACCAAGACGACATGGACGCCATCGGCCGGGGCCATCATGCGGGTCGAGGCCTCTGCACGTACAGGCGGCGATGCCTCGGCAAATGCCCAGGGGATGTGGCCGGCGATCTGGATGTTGGGCGACAGTATCAGACATGGCACGGGTTGGCCACAATGTGGCGAGATCGACATCATGGAGATGGTCAACGGAATCGACACTGCGTACGGCACAATTCACTGCACAGCTGCGATCTGTGACCCAGATACGAGTGCAGGCTATCAAGGCAGCACGACCACGGACGATAACTGGCACACTTACAGCGTGACGATCGACCGGACGAGCAATGACTGGGAGACGGAGTCTATCAACTTCATGAAGGACAACACCACATATTTCACGGCGACGGGTGCGGAAATCGGTGACGAGGCTGTATGGGGTGCGTTGGCTCACTCACCACTGTACATGATCATCAACCTAGCCGTCGGCGGCTCGTGTAAGTTTAACTTTCTGGGTGGGAGAGGGGAAAGGGCTGTCGGAATCAAGGCTAAAGTTATCCTACAGGGCCTGGCGATCCCAACTCTTCGACGCTTGATGGCTATGGGAACATGCTCGAGGTTGAATACGCTGCCGTATACTCCAGTTGACTCGCGGACTCCCCGTCCGACGATCCCGCTGCCCCGACAAGCACGGGCTCCGACTCGAGCTCCACCAGTGCTGTTAGCAGTACCGTCGACACCGCCACCACCACTGTGGCCACCACGGCCACTACGGTCGTTAGCGCCACGGCATCTTCATCTTCAGTTGCTTCCGCATCTGTCACGGTGTTGACCTCGTCGCAGTACTCTACCACACTCTTGTCTACAACAACATCAGCGGCCGCAACCTCGTCGGTCGGGGGGACATCTATAGCCTCAGCAGCCTCTTCCGAGTCCACCATGACGCTACCAGGAGACTCCTCATCCAACAGCACTACTTTTAACCCCTACGAATGTCTATGCAGTGGCGCCAGCTCTCTTCGATTAGACTTTGGACTGGGTTCATTCCTCTCACACGTCAGACTGTTCGATCTCGGCCTTCTACTTGGGACAGCCGAACACGACGACAGCAACCATCCAACAGCCAAGCAGTCAGCACCATATGAGCGAAAATCTGGTCGGCCTGGTCAAAGGCAACATACAACTCAATCTCGCGGCTCACGTGAGCCAAGGCCTCGAAATACGACGATATGGAACGGCTTTTTTTCTGCAGCCTACAGGCTGCTAGACGACGTACGCCTGGTCATAGCCATGACCATCACGGCGTCGCCTATTTTATTTACCATTCTGGTACAACTTTTATGAGCGATGATCATCATAACTTGCTCTGCATTTGAGAGCACATTTGTTTCTGCGGGATACCTGGGGGTTTATACATTGGCAAACTAGATACCACTTCTTAACACTTTAAAGTTACTATTTTGAGAATAGGATATTCTACCGTTCTCGCTCTTACAACACATCTTCACGTCTTTTGAAACCAAAGGGCCAATTTGACTCCTCGTAGGGTCTATTATAAATGTGAATGGCTTGCAAACCAAGTGCAGTTGTGGCTGGCTGTCAGCAGTTTTATATTGAGTTCGAAGTAACGAGATGACTTGCAGGAAGCAGGGGGCCCATTGGCCGGGTGAGGCGGCGCCACTCCCGCAGTGCCCCCTGAAAGTGCCAACAGTAGCTTACACGAGGCTGCAAGGGTTGTTGCTTCCCAAATTGCAAGAGATGGAATAAACTTTGATGCTTCTAAGGAAAGTCTCTTTATCCTGTTACCACCAGAGAACTCCTATCTGTATGCAAGGTATTGTTACAGCAACGAATAAAAAGAGATGACAGAAAGAACAAAGACAAAGAAATATCCTACAAACCACCTCGTTCAACATGTCCTCGCTATTGCTCATCATGCCTTGACCTCCGTCTCCTCCTCAAAACCACCCTCACAGTACTCCAAAAAGTCCACCTCGGGTGTCCTGGCCCTGCACAACAACATCTGCCTCGAGTCCGGCATCATCTGGAAGTTCATGTACAGCTCGGGCAGGGGCTCGCCCTTGGCCTCCTCAGGCAGAGCAAAGTCGTAGTTGAGCAGCATGTAGGCAAACATGAGCTTCATGCTGTTGGAGGCAAAGAAGCGGCCGGGGCAGGCGTGCAGGCCGTGGCCGAACATGGTCATCTCGGGCGAGGTGGTGACGGTCTGGTACTTGTTCTCGTTGCTAGGGCTGGAGGCGCGCAGGCGGAAGAACCGGAGGCCGTCGAACTTGTCGGGGTCGGCGTGGACGGCCGGGTTGAGCATGGGCGGGGGGGACATCATCAGGTAGGCGCCCTTGGGGATTTGCGTGCCGTCGCTGAAGGTGATGTCCTGCTGGGCTACACGAGGCATGTTTGCTGGTTTGGTTGGGTTTCAAAGGTCAGTCAAATCGTCCCCAAACTTAAAAGTACATACTTTACTGCCGTTGAGCCTTCTTGATGTTTGAAGGAGGGGTTTGCTCGCAGCCAATGGAACTCACCATTCAGCCCTGGGTGGATCCTCAGGCTCTCCCGGATGAAGCTATCCATCTTCTTCAGCTTGAAGAGCATATTCTTGTCGATCTGGCCCGTCTCGGCCAGCACCGCCACCACCTCGTCCCGCAGCTCCTGCACATACTCGGGGTAGCACGCCGCGTCCAGCAGCAGGTAGCCCACAGCGCGCGACGTGGAGTTCATGCTGGCCATGGCGAGCGCGATCTCCATGACGCCCACGTCAGGCAGCGGCTGGCGCTTTGCCGAGGCCGCCGCGACAAGCCAGTCCACCGAGTCCAGGACCTTTCTGCGCGGGGCGCCGAACCGCCGGATCTCGTCGAGCCGCCTCTCGACCTCTGGGTTGATGAGCGCGCGCGCCTGCCGGACCTCGTCGCGGATGCGGCGGCACTCGGGCAGGACCCAGTGGAGCAGCGGCCGCAGCAGGGCCGGGAGGGCGTTGAGCCTCTGCACGGCGCGGAAGACGTCGGTCGCGTACGAGGTCGAGATGGCCTGCCACTCTGGGTCGTCGGCCAGCTTGGGCCCCAGGAAGATGCGCGACGTCTGGCGGGCCACGCAGTGCTGCACCGCAGTCTTGAGGTTGATCTTGGTCCACTCCTTGGGCCGGCCTATGTATAGGTCGCATGTCTGAGGGAGGGCACGCGCCAGAGGGTCGATTGTGAGGGCTGTTTTATGTTGGAGGGGGTGGGTGTGCAGTGTCAGCAGAGGAATATTAACAACTTTTGTTAATTGGTGAGTTGGAGGGAAGGGAGAAGAAGCCTTACCTAGAACTCCAGGGAGCTGTTTCTTGAGGGCGTTCTGGAGGATCTCGCCGTTACTTGCAGGGCTGAACCCCTCGAAGCCGGGATAGGTTGCGTAGAAGTCCTTGACGATGAAGGCACTGAAATCAAGCGCGGGCAGGTTCTTGTACTCGTCCAGGTACCGTGGAGGTACAATCACCTTGGCACCAGACTGGGTGAAATCATTGACCCGGAAAATGCGGTCCTTGTACTACCAGCACAGTGAAAATGAAGAGAGAGTGTGTGTTAGCAATGATATCCAGGTGCCGTGCCAGAATGTTGAATGATTTGTCCTCGCCAAGCATCAACTCAGAAGGTCTGGAATGATGATGAAAGACTAACCAACTCATAGCCCTTCTCCAACAGTCTGCTCGCGTTCGTCCTGAACTCCGCCTGGGCCTTGGGACCGCCGCCGGGGTTGACAATGGGGAACTTTCTGAGTCTCCATGCCAGCATCTGTTGTCGGATCCAGTCGCTAGCCAGTACCAATATCAGGACCACGACAGCGACCACGGCGGCTCTAATATGCCAGTCGGGAGATAGAATTGTCTGAAAGCTATCGAGATGCATCATGTCGAATGTAGGTGAAGAAGGCGAGAATAATCAATTTGTGTTGTGTACACCCAAAAAATCAGTGTAGCTTATTGTTTAAACATGGGCTGAACAAATTCTTGTTTGAAATCCAAAGAGAAAAGTTACTGCCGCGTGGATTCTTTCTTCAATATATATATATATTATATATACGAAGAAGACAATACAAAAGAGTGAAGAACGGATTGCTAGAAGAGTCCGTTCGAATTGAAGCATGAAGTAGGTGAGTCCTGAGAGACATGACAGAATGAGTAAAACCGAATACGAAACAACAAGTCTCGCTATTCAAGAAGATGCCCCAAAAAAGTCAAATACCATAGTAGACGGTCTAGTGGCGGCAGTGTTGAGGTGTCTAAAAACACCAAAAAAGGCCAGATTCTACAAGTCAACCACGTCACATTTCTCTACTTGAGAGTTATCTTTGGAACGAATACTGTCAATTCCCAGAATGCATTGCAATATACCGTACTTGAAATTCAAAAATAAGGAAAGGCAAAACCATGAGAGAAGAAAGGAATTAAGAACGGCGTCAGGGCCACAGCAACACCGGTGCTTACAGTAAGTATGGGGGATGAAGTGAAGCTACAGGGCGCAGGACAACTTCAAGCCAGCAGTCTCTACTACCCAATGAGGTTCTGTAAACTAGTTATCAGCCACCTCAAGGCCCCAAAGTGGGAGAGGAGGTTCGGCTGACCCAAGCTGCCGGGTAGTTCCCAGTTAGGACATCAGCCCCGGCACTCTCCAGATTACTGCTTCCATAGAGAGCGATTCCGAGTGCGAAGTTTATACCGAGCAGTTCACCTCCCTTACTGCCAGTTCGTCCACGTTGATTTTAGGTTTTGGTCGCCTCTGGAATATTTACACAGCCTCGGGGCGAGAAGAACACGTGTGGGGCTTTTCAAATATGGATGAAGCGAGGCAATCGAATCAACCTCCAAGCTTACACGACAACCAGCATGAGGGAGGGAGTAATCCGATTGCGAGAGCTCTACCGACGGACACTATCATCACGGAACCTATTCGCTCAGCGTTATAAAAGACATTCCAAGAAGTGACCAATGGCATGAACCCAATCCTACAGTTGCTGGCATCGTGGGTGACCTGACTCAATAATCAGTGATCTCATTGGGCCAAAAGCTGCTCAAGCTGGCCTGATTGGTGGATAACATGCCTCCCTCTTGAGTGAGCAAGGTACGGGATCGCAAAAGGCTCTCTACCATGCCTGCAACTCGATTGGTTTTGTCAAGGGGCGCCACTGCGATGATAGAAATCAGGAACGACTGGGGCCCCGCATGCAGCTAAATGATGTTCCGAGGCATTAGCGGGGTGTAGTCTGCACGAGCAAGCGAGAGACGACTGGTGGTGGAGCATGAGACCGTCGCCAGGTTCTCAGGAGCACGTCCGCCTTGCCGCACGATAATTTAGCAATGTATAGCCCATCGCAAGGCATCTGGAACCCCCAACGCCTCTTCACACACACACCACCGACTTTGCTCCATCCTAGCTTTGCGCCCGCGAAACTAACACAGAAATATGGGTTTATCTACCGACTAAGGGAGGTTCGAGTCCTGCAAAAGCTCTCCCAGCTGAACAAGGGTCCTCTCATAGATCCTAGCAACATCCATGTAGAGGTCTTCATCTTCATCTTCCCAGTTGGGGTCAACGAAACCTCTGTCCTCAGTAGCACTGTCTGTGATGTCGGCATCGGTGTCGGCTTCCGTGTCCGTATTCATGTTATCGGAATCGTCCTCGTCCATGTCGACCAGGGGCGCACTCTGTTGGTTCATGAACTCAACGACGAGAACCCTCGTCTGTTCAACTATGCTCTTGCACCGCACCATGTGCGTCTTAGTCATGACGCCCCGGACACTGTTCTCGAAGCCCGGCAGCGTCTCTCCGGTATCGATATCTCGTCCCGAGAGGAGACTAGCAAAGCAAAAATCGAGCTTTCGGAATGTTGAAAACATCGCTGTGGGCTGTGGAGGAAAGCGTGTGATCCATTCGGTGAAGTCGTTGGCGACGTTAAGGAGGTAAGGTATCTGCAGGTTTGCTACAAAAAGGGCATCTATATCAGCAAGTCGACCTTCTGCTGCAAAAGAAGAGTTTCAAGTTCAACCAGGTCTGTCTTACGGGTGCCAGAAAGCCATAATACGTCGAGAAGCCCCTCGACGTCCTTGCACAGCTCACCCAGATTCTTATACCCCACCACGTCGTCGCCAGCGCCGGGTGTCTCGAACTTCTTGACAAATCGCCGGTTGATTGACATAAGCTGGTTCTCAACGTAGCTTCTGACCTTTTCTTCCTTGGCTGAGCCTGCGCGCAATGGGTGCGATCGAGGATGTGGCAGTCCAGACGTCGGGCGCGTCGAGGCTCCGCTGGGCGCAGGCGATGGTAGGGACTTGTGCGGCAGAAAGCCGCCAGGCAGAGATGCGTCAGCCATTCTCAATGTTGCATGTGGAGCTTCTGAAGGTATTATTGAATTCCCATAGCATCTTCGAGAAGCAATGGCGCAAGATACTTGCGTGGAAGCGCAAAGGAACGAAAAGGGAAGAAAGAGGTCAGCTCGGGGAATGACGTTCAGTGGCTAAGCATGCTTCCCCAATGAAATGGATGGACCCCTGCAGCGAAAAGAACCCCCCCCCTCTTCACACCCCGGCCCTCTCGGCGAAGCTAAGCAAAAGCCCAGCACGCGCCAAATCTGACGTCGGATCCGTTGAACTTTTTGCGACTCCCAGACAACCTCCGACATCTTCATCACACACCACACAAGTCAAAATGCCACCCAAGAGAGTCATCGTCGAGCGCGGCTACGGTTCCGGCAAGCGTATTCAGAAGGGTTACTTCGCCTCTACCTACGAGACCCTCACGTCGCCCGAGAATTCAGCGATGGTCAAGGCTATTGCTTCCTTTGGTGTATGTTGTGCTGCCTCCTCGAGCTGCGCCGCCTGCGTTTCGCGACTGCTACCCAGGCTATGAACGTCACGGACTGACTTGCTTCTACAGGTTGGCGTCGCTTTCCTCTCAACTTCGTGGGGCGAGTTCCTGCTTCCTCCGTAAGACTGCACCCAGGCTCGCGACGAGCTCCGACCGCCACAACGAGCGAAATTCTAACCGATGCGCAGGCAATAAAATAACCGCTCGATGTCTGTCGATTGCTCGAAAAAAAAAAAAAGGGAAAAAAAAAAAGGCGCTTCTGTGACAGCGCATCGAGGATAATGGGTTGCATAAGCTCAACACGACCGGATGTTGCGATTGTACGATAGAGAAAGGTCGGGAACATCACTTGCGACGATGAGGAAACGGCGTGAAGAGCCGCCATCAGATCAGATTTATTGGGGCTCACCTGGAATAGGATACAGGCGCACATAGCCTGTCAACACGCATCTCAATTCTCTGATCCCACATGTCCCATTGCTTGACAAGATACATTCTTGAGTGTGAGCGTGATCTCTCAGATATAACTCGTGCAGGATCTACCGACGAATACAAGGAATTTATTTCTGAAACCAGTGACATTCTATGGCCGCATTCTTCTTCTGGATCCTTGGGTATTTCTGGAAGAAGAGAAAGTGGTGGGCAACGATGTTCCCGTGGATCTCGTTCGCCAGAATCGATAAGATGGCCTTGAAGCTTACTCGTCAAAACTTTACTACATGAAGTGGGATGCAAAAAGAAGCTTGGTTGGGACTGCTAGGAAGTAAAGAACCTCGTTTAGCTCATACAGGGCAGTTATGTGGCAAACGCTGGACATCACCATTCTAACACACCACGATATCTCATCTGTCCATTTTCAATCTTGGAGAATGCCTGCTCCAGGCCCTCCTCTGTCATGGGGAATCTCTCCACCCAGGGCTTGATCCTGTTCTGAGCTGCAAAGTTGAGCATATCGATATGATTGCGCCTTGATGCTTCGGTAGAGGAGATGATGCGGTGCCCAGGCAAGATGAACGGCATGTACGGGATGCTCAGTGGCTGCTCCTGGATCGTCATGAGCACAATCCGTGCCATTCTGTTCAGGAGAGGCAGAATACTATCCCAATTCGGCAGCACGTTGGATGTGACAAGAAGAACATCGACAGGTTTGCACCACTCCGGACCAGCCTGAGGGGGCGCTCTCACGATATCGCCTCCCAGCTTTCGAAACAAGGCCTCCTCATCCTCACCCGCGATGCAGTAGGCTTCGTCAGCGCCCAGCGCAAAGGCGTCTCGGACCTTCTGTGCGCCGTCCTCTTGTTGGCTCGACGCGAGCAGCGCAGTCACGCCACAGCCCATAGCCCGAGCGAACAAAACAGCCATGTGGCCGAGGCCGCCTACGCCGACGACGCCGACCCTGTCGTGCGGCCTCGTCTGCGCAGCATGCAGCGCCTCGTATACCGAAGCTCCGGCGCACATAAGGGGGCCCGCATCCACGGACGAGATCTCGTCCGGTATCGGGTAGGCGAACTCGGCGTCGATCACCCGGTAATCACCAAAGGCCCCTTGCTCCAGCTCCGAGTACGCGAAACCGCGCGCTTCTGCGCAGTACTGTCGGTACCCGGACAGACAGGTCGTGCAGTGGCCGCACGAGCTGTGCAGCCAGCCCCAGCCGACGCGGTCGCCCGCCTTGATGCCGAGGACGGCAGACCCAACCTTCTCGACATGGCCGACGCCCTCGTGGCCCAGGCCGCAGCCCTTCCCCTTGGCGTGTACGTCGGTGTAGCAGAGCCCAGAGTGCGTCGTCTTGATCAGGATCTCGCGAGCGCCCACTGCGCGCTGTGTGGTCTTCTTGACGAATCGTCGCTCGTCGGCCGAGTAGGTGAAGATGGTGAGGGTCTGGGCGGCCATTTTTGGTGAAACACAATGAAATTAATAGGAATCTGTTTTAAAAGAAGCAATGAAGAGAGATGAGTGAGTGAGTAAGGTGCAGTGAGATGCCGGAGTACGGACAGAGATAGTAATAAGATCCAATTAAGCATAACGTAATGGGGATCGGAGTCTGTACAGGCCCCACCAGCACCTGGGCAGTAAATCCAAATGCCGGGGAAAGCATTGGCTCTACGAAGTATGCTGGATTACCACTCAAACACCTTGACACTCATTCATTGTCTCAAGTAGCTGTGGTGGGCTTAAGGAAATTGGTGTATATTTGGCTAGGTTACTTACTACCTGAACGAATGCTTCTGGTTTGCGTACTGGATATCATGGTGAGGTTGTCAAGATGGCTTTTCCTGCAAGGTCTATCCTGGGCTTCACGACTGAGCTGGTAATCTGCTAGATGTGGGAATGAAACTCCAAGAGTGAACACAAGTGTCTGCATAAACTTGCAACAGTGATAAGAGAAGCTAGAGTTTGTGAGACAATGTTCATGTTCTGTCAGATGAATACTTAATAGTTAAGCAGGAAATGACATGCAACTAGGAAGGGTTGACCCCATGAAACACCCATTATATAGTTTAATACCCAAGCGAGGAACTCTTCTTCAGGGTGATGGCAACTTGGAAGTCTTCTTGATTTTCTGTTTGATACATGTAGACTTCTTACTAGGGTTGATAGCAAATGCAGTTTTGTATGTCTTTGTATATTCAGATGAACACTCCAGAGCCACATCTCTGCTGCAGACAATGTGGGTAATATGCACTGTGAGCAATACACAGACAAAAGCTGCAGCCGCCTTTTCGTCTACATAGGCTGTAACATAGACGCTGAATTCTATGAACACATATATAATCTACAAGTCCACCTAAAGGATATTATTGACATGCCTCAAACAATGTCCCAGCTTTGGTGTCTTACTTCATGAAGTGGTCTGATGGAGTTGGGAAAATCAAACATCTAGTGTCTTATATTTTACTTCAGGATCCCAAATGAGACTCATCCTGAACTCACGGCTCACTCATTTACTTCTGAGCATTGCAGACGTGGACTCGTTGATCATGTTCATTATGCCGGAAATGGAGATATGTTGGTTGATAGACAAAGATTTCTCTTGAACGCTTTTCAGCATATGAATCAGACTATAAGCAGACTCGTTTCAAGTAAAAATATTTACAGTCTTATTTCCCTACAATACATTCTATAACGAGCTTCCAGTCTGAGAGAAACAGTGCTGTTGCCACGAGTTGGGCCCAAATGATGAACGGATCACGTTCCTAAGACTTATGGATCCTCTCAATCGATATGCCAACAAGAGTCTCGCATCTTTAAAGACAGCTACAACACACAGTTTAACCAAGCTTATTTGTTTGTCCATCCTCCATCTGTCTTTCCACTTTGCAAGTGCTCAAAATCTCGAGTCATCACTTCAAACGTTGTCATGGAATCTCAAGCAACTCCAGCAATCTTCAACCTGAAGACAAGGCCAGCATTGGAGAACGAGGCAGAGGGCTACTGATCATAGGACTATGACCATGTATCATTTATATCATGAGCATGGCACTCCAGCTCACTGGGCGATATCCGCACGCGCTGAGTGGTAGAGGCTGACCGTCGAGACACACCAGAAGAGGTATTACGTCTTGGACGAAAGTATCATCACATGACTCCTTCCCGGCGTCCCTCCCTCCTTTTGCCCCTTCCACACGCGCCGCAGCCTTATCATCACGCAAGCCCACCTAGGTGTCAAGGCTGGCTCATGGCAGCAAGCCTACTCCCAATGCCTGGAGAATAAGTCTATCAGCAACCATCCACCGCTGAGAGATGAGAATCGCAGGACAACAAGGCGACATCGGTACTGTATCACTTCCTTGGGGAGCTCTCGCACCTATAGCTTTGTTTCTTAGGCGCCAGATTGTTCCCATCTCCTGTGCCCATTCTACGATGGCTTAGATCTTTCATGAGATCTCGGAAGTAGCGATTTCAGATCTACGCGGTTGGTCTGCTCCTTGACATCTATAATAGATGATGACCATCATCTACAAATCGTCTTCTCTCGACCATGCGCAGGAACGAAATCAGTATTGGTCCGGACGAAGCTGGTGCATGAATGCTAGCTGATGTGGCCCCAACCAACATTGCCGAGTCACGCACGCACAGTGCACTGTTGGTTGAAGCGCGCACCTTCGTGCTCTGAAACGATATTTATAAGATCGTAACAGCCCAGGGAAACACAGGCTTTCCACTGGCCTCAATATATTAGTCCTCAGTTCGCTCTTTGCATGGCTTCTGTTCATTGTTTGCTTTTTAGGATAGGGAACATGTATCCTTTTTTTCATCTCCATATAGCTGCGTTGCCGCTTCTAGATGTCATGATATTCGAACTAAGGTATGGCGGACCCATCGTTCTTCACGAAGAGCTCGTCAGAGAGCCAAGACGACCCTGCAGCAAGATAGACGTAGACAAGAGCCCAGGCTCATTGTGCACCCAGACTAGACCAAGACATTGAGGAACTCGCCTGATAGGCTCACTAACGCTAAAGGTACATTCAGATCTCGGCGAGACAACCCCTGCGTTAGACCTGGCAGGAGAGACGAAGGGGCTGGTCAAGAGAGACATTTCCCGCAGGGCACTCGCGAACAGGAATCGATTGGAGGATTGGTATCGAGACGCTAAGTTTTCTCGTCTGCCTAGCTCCCTGAGACGGATGGATCGAAGAGAAATGCACAGCAACTGCTGTGCCGATTTTTAGGTTACCCAGCGTCTTAGCCGCGTAATAATTGCCCATGCATAGCCTGCAGTGGTGAGACTTAGAGGTCGGCTAGTCAGGGGCAAACTTTGATCATCAAGCGAGCGCAAGAAAATAGGACGAAGAAGCATTCGGGCGCTCGTCCTACGCAGCGTGCTGGGCAAGGAAGAAAGAGGTAGCCACAACGACGTGTAGGATAAGTTGAGAAAAGCGCAGATCTCGGCGGGCGTGTATCCCATAGTAGCCGTGATTGCATGGTTACAACTGTCCGTTGGGTGGACAAACTGGTGAAATCTTTCGCCTTCTCGCCTTACTAGCAGGGCGCACCGCGCTTATTTTTTCCAGGCAACATCACCTACCGACAGCCCAGAAAGAGGTGCATGTTTCTTCTTCGACGTGACCAGGAGCGGCGACATGAAGGCTGCATATCCAAAAATAAAACACCTCAGGATGAAATGAGTTACTTGACCCGTCATGTTAAATCGCGCGAATGAATTTCGCCATTGGAGGAAAATGCGCCGCCAATAGGATTTCGAGAAACTAAGGGAAATTGTTCACACATTCTCCGGTTCGTCGCGGGTCCTTAGGCTTCCCTAGCAGGCAAGGCATACTCATACGCGGGGCACTCTAGCAGCATTGCTGCTGCAGGTGAGCCGCATTGGAATATCGTGGCTTATTGCACCACACCACTTACTTGTGCATGCAGCCTAGAGACGCAAGCCCAAGTGATCAACGGACCTGCGGCACAGAGACCGCGGCAAAGGATCTGAACACACAGTGTCCATGTTTTGGGGGCGAATCTAGCTGCAGAAATCCATCTGGATGGGAAGCCGATGCAACACGGCGATTAGGCATGCAAGATTTCACCAGCGGCCTGACAGAGGGCCAGTCTGCCCACGTCGCATCACTGCTGCCATGTGAGATTTCCGCAAAGCAAGGTCTAGAAGGATCAAGAACCGACTTTCTAGGATATGGCACATTCGTCTTGTGTAGTGTGGCACAGCCTCGGGACCATCTGTGCTCTCGGTCCCCAAAAACAACCAGAAGAAGAAAAGAAAAAGCACAAAAAAAACAACGTCTTTCTTTGGAGAACGCTCGAGGCTTGAGACATTCCTGGACTAGGCAACTGAGCATGCTTGGTCCGTCAAGGGAAATCTTTGACGTCGCTTATCGAGTTTCCCAGGTGAGGAGAGCCAGCACACTTGAGAAGACCAGCGACCTTGCACCTGTGTCATCTGGAGTCATATTCATGTAACGTCACTGCTGGCTGGTTCTTTGACTGCCATCGCCCAGATTTCGTCCGAATGATGCATCGACTCGTATTAAGATAGAAAAGGAAAACGCCAAATTGACAATCCTGCTGCGCTGACTAAACAAAGGCTTGGTCGGCAGCCAGCGACATGATGTCGCCAGTCTGAAAGTCGTCCCGATCACGAACAAGAGAACACGAGTGATAGGAATCTGGGCCGGAAGGCGCTCGACGGAGCCACTTGACCAAGCCACTATTCTGCACGGAGGTGGCGATGACAGCACAGTCAGCCCGTTTATGATAGCGTAAGGAGTCTCAGACTTCTGAGTATGGCACCAGCGCGGCAGCGCTGGAAGCGCCGGCCGAAGACGCGGGCTCGGTGACCACTTTGGTCACCCTTGAACCTGGTCAACCACGAGGACTCGCCGCCCCAGCAGCAATGGTAGAAATGAATCAAGGCACTTCGATGATGTAGCGTTGTACATCCTCGCTGTGCTTTCACATGGAAAACGGGATCAAGAACGGGCCAGATTAGGCCAGACCAGGTTCAATGGACACGGATACAATCCAGGTTGCAGTAGAGGCGAAGCGGCCGCTGAGGTCTCGAGGGTAGCACCGAAGAATCCGTCGGTCAGGGTGAAGCTGGGTGGACAATCCTTGAAAGCAGCCGCTTCAGGCCATCAATTGGCTGGGCCCAGGAAATACCATGATGAGAACGACGGTGGAGCATCTGTCTCCTTTGGCCCTGATGGCGTGATATTCAATGACAGCGCCCTGAGAGGACTCACCAAAGCCACGTGCTCCTGTGCCATAATAATCTCTCACCCTGAGATAGTAAAGATGCCAGTTGATAGTTCCCCCGTCTTCCAACGGAAGATTTTGGGGGCCGAACCTAAGGCACTTGCCTCGGAGTCACGACGGTGTGTACCAGATACCGCAGTGTCGGGTCAAAAAATGAGCTTCGATCAGGTGGC